TATTCCGAGTCATTTTTTGGCAGATTCCAAAGGGGTACCATCACAGATTTTGGGCGATTTTTCCGAAATGCCATTTTCTTTCGATTCAAGAGGCTCCAGATCACGGAATCAGGCTGAGGCTATTCTCCACCGTTAATGAAGTCTATTGATCCTATTCTCCGCGGAGGATAAGTTCATTAAGCACCGATTTGGGCCAATTTATTTTCGGATGGCATTTTCGTAATTTTTTGGGCGACGAAAGGCCTTTTTCTTTGGATATTGAAGGATACGGATCACGGATTCGGCCTGAGGCTATTCTTCAACAATGATTGAGTCCATTAAGCACCGATTTTGGTGGATTTCTTCCGGGTCAATTTTTGACAGATTTCGGGCAATTTTTCGGAAATGTCATTTTCTTTCGATTCTGGAGGCTACAGATCATGGAATCAGGCCAAGGCTATTCTCCATCGATAATGAAGTCTATTGGTCCTATTCTCCGCGGATGATATGTCCATTAAGCATCGATTTGGGCCAATTTATTTTTCTGATGGCATTTTTGTAATTTTTTGGGCGGCGAAATGCCATTTTCTTTGGATATTGAAGGCTACAGACCACTGATTCAGCATGAGCCTATTCTTCAACGATGATTGAGTCCATTAAAAACCGGTATGGGCGGATTTATTCCGGGTCAATTTTTGGCAGATTTCAAAGGGCGATTTTTCGCAGATTCCAAACCGGTACCATCACAAATTTCGGGCGATTTTTCCGAAATGCCATTTTCTTTCGATTCTGGAGGCTACAGATCACGGAATTGGGCCTAGGGTATTCTCTACCGATAATGAAGTATATTGGTCCTATTCTCCACGGATGATAAGTTCATTAAGCACCGATTTGGGCCAATTTATTTTCGGATGGCATTTTCGTAATTTTTTTGGGCAACGAATTGCCATTTTCTTTGGATATTGAAGGCTATAGACCACGGATTCGGCCTGAGGCTATTCTTCAACGATGATTGAGTCCATTAAGCACCGATTTGGGCGAATTTATTCCTGTCCAATTTTTGGCAGATTCCAAAGGGGCACCCCTTTAGAATTTGCCAAAAAAATGGATCTGGAATAAATCCGACCAAATTGGTGTTTAATGGACTCAATCATCGTTGAAGAATAGCCTCAGGTCGAATCCGTGATCTGTAGACTTCAAAATCCAAGGATAATGGCCTTTTGGAAAGAAAATCGACAAAAAAACTTTGAAAATGTCATTCCAAAATAAATTGGCACAATTTATTGCTAAATGGACGAATCATCCTAGTAGAATAGGATCAACGGACTTCATTATTGGGAAAATAGCCTCAGGCCGAATCCGTTATCTGTATCCTCCAAAATCGAAAGAAAATTGCATTTCGAAAAAATCACCTGAAATCGTTGATGGTACCCCTTTCGAATATGCCAAAAATGGACCATGAATAAATCCGTCCAAATCGGTGCTTAATGGACTTAATCATCGTTGAAAAATAGCAATAGGCCCAATCCGTGATATGTAGCCTTTAAAATCCAAAGAAAATGTTGTCAAAAAAATCCAAAGAAAATGGTCTTTCAAAAAAAAATCACCAAAAATATTACGAAAATGTCATCCCAAAATAAATTGGCACAATTCGGCGCTTAATGGACTTAATCATCGGTGGGAAATAGGATCAATAGACTTCATTATCGGTGGAGAATATTCTTAGGCTGAATCCGTGATTTGTAGTCTACAAAATCGAAATAAAATGACATTTCGGAAAATTACCTTAAATCGATGATGATACCCCTTTCGACTCTGCAAAAAATGGACCCGGAATAAATTTACCCAAATCGGTGCTTAATGGATTTAATTATCGTTGAAGAATACTGGTAGGCCGAATCTGAATATGTAGCCTTCATATCCAAGTAAAATGACATTTCAAAAACAAATTGCCCAAAATATTATGAAAATGGCATTAAAAACTAAATTGGCCCAATTTTGTTGGACCGAGTACTCTACTAGTATAATATTGTCTGTATTTGGGACCAAACACTCAATATTGTATCCTTTCCAAAAGATCCCTTACAAATAAAATTAAAGATGTTATATTGTCCGAGAATTCACCGTAAAGATGTTATATTACTAATACATCAACATGTAAACAATACATAATTATAACATACCGAATTCGGATGAGTTTCTTGAGCAGTAAACCAACTCCAAACCAGCTGACAAAACGACCAAGAAAACACTAATTTTTGTACTACTTTGCTGTTAGGCAGCAGGAGGGAAGTGGGGGTCGGAATTTATAGGGGGAAAATGTCAGCTAATCACCGTTGCAGACAACCACGGTGAAAGCATCACTGCTTTTGTCCAAAACGGTGATAGCTAGGTCGCTGTGACCTAACATTCCACCTACCAGGGCTCTAAAACGTGGTCAAATATCACCGTTTTTGTCATCAGCGGTGAGTCAATCACCGTTTTTTACTACATCGGTAATATCTTCCCCGTTGTTGTCAAAACCGGTGATCTATTCCCCGCTTTCGTCGAGGGCGGTGATATCTTCCCCGATGTTTCACTGTTTTAGACTAAAGCGGCGATTGCAATCACTGTCTTGGTCTACAACAGTGATGTTGAAACTGCTGTACTTTGGGAATTAATTTTAGGGTTAATTGCATGGTTGGTCACTCAGATTACAAAAAACGTTCATGTTTGGTCACTCGAAATATTTAATTCTATTCATGGTCACTAAAATTAGTTAAAGAGTTCAAGTTTGGTCACTCTCTGTCCATCTCCGTTAACTTTTGCTTATGTGGCAGTCAACTCTTACAATTGACCGTTAAATGTGCCACATGGCAATTTAAAAATTAATTAAAAATAATATTTTAAATTTTAAATTTCCAATTCATTATTCCAACTAATAAAAAATAAAAATTATAAAATACCTAATTTCTTTTCTTCTAATTTCCATGTTCGGATGAACCTCAACAGTCAACAGTCCCTTCTCCTTCTTCCTTCCGCCACCGCCGCCAGCAGCACCACCGTTATCTCCGCCGCAGCCACCTCCACCACCACTGCCGGCAGCTCTCCCTCTTAGATCGGATCCCTTCACATCAACCCATGAGAAATTGAAAGCCCCAACTTCACAAATCTCTCTTTCCCTCTCTCAAATGCATTAAATTAATCAAAAGTGAAAAGTTCCCTCCTTGCACCTCTTCGCCATTAATTAAACATTTCATTGTCATCCCCGCCATAAATTTTCAACTGGGTTCCAAGAAGAAGGAGGAAAGGTTCCAGCTTTGAGCTAAATTTCGGTTTGTGGTTTTTCCCCCCTCTGGGTTTGTTGGAGAAAGAGAAATGGGGAATGTGACGTCGAACGTGGCGGCGAAATTCGCCTTCTTCCCGCCGGACCCGCCGACGTCAAGACTGGATTTGATGAAAGTTTCTGGCTTTTCGATGAATTCTTGTCGAAATTAGAGTTGTTTCTGGTTTTGGGATGCTTGATTGTATTCCTTGTTGTTCAAAGATTGGAGCTTTATGACCTTTGTTGTCTGTTGTTTCTCTATGCAGCTATGACTATTCAGGCTATGGAGCATCTTCTGGAAACGCGCCGGTCACCAGCGTCGTGAAGCTGAAGGTGGTTGATACATCAATTTGGTCGATGGCGAGCTCTGTCAGTGCCAGCTTCACGTTGCGAACTGCGGCAACCACGAACTGCGCGTCGGCGTCGTCGCCAACATAGACGACGGAAACTCGCGTGCGGCGATAGAACGACGCTACGTTGTGCCGAAGCCACTCTATTGCGGAAGACGGAGATTTCGCCATTTCTTGAACCAGATGGTTCGGAACGGAGAGCAGCACGCTGGCCTCGGTGAAAGACAAGGCCCGAGTCAGGCTCGGTGTTGGATCCAGAATCCGCACCGAGCGGAATCCGAGAGCTGCCACCGCTGAGGCGATGCTCTCCGGGAAGCGGGAGGTGCTGCGAGGACGGAGATGAACTGCGACTGGAATTCGCTGGGCGGCTGCGGTGGTAGTGCGGCGGCGGAGTAGGTAACTCCAACAGCATCAGGGTTTGGTCGGTAGGGTATGGAGATTAGAAGAAATTAGTTTTAATATTTTTATTTTTTTAATAATTGTGATAATGAGGTGGAAATTTAAAAAATTAAATTTTTTATTTTTTAATTGCCACGTCACACATTTAACGGTCAACTCTAATAGTTGACTGCCACATCAGACAAAATTAACAGAATTGGATGGAGAGTGACCAAATTTGAAATGTTTAAGTAATTTTAGTGACCATGAACGGAATTAAATATTTTTAGTGACCAAATTTAAACCTTTTTAGTAAATCCGGTGACCAACTATGCAATTAACCCATTAATTTTATAAGTACTGTATTTAGAGAATTTTTTTTTATTAACTTAAGTATTCTAGGATTTTTTCCCTTTTATCATCCATCGTACATATTTAGCTCGTCATCATCGACGGGGAGAAAATTAAAGGCTTACGGTAGTTTTGTTTGTTCCATTTCAACGATTAACCATAGCTGGCCGGACGTTAGTTGGTCGCTAATTCCAAACGTATATGTAGACAACCATTTTGGCTTTCATAATCAAAGACGCGTATATATATACGTTTTTACATATAACGACCACTAAATAATCAATTATCTTATAAATAATCGCTCAACATATCCTCAACCAAAATCCTCCAAACCCAAAAAAAACAATGCAAAATAATACCAAAACCGAAAAGGAAACGAAATTCCACATCACAGTTGGAGATCAGTTAGCTCCCAACCCCTATATATACTCACAAAAGAATTCCCAAAATTGGGTAATTAAAAAAAAACGGAAATCACAATTCACACAGAGAAAAAAACACGTAAAAAGAAAGAAAACAATTCTCCGTCGCTATAACTCCATCGACCGTCACAAAAAACCCTCCTCTGCCTCTCCCCTGTTTTTTTTTTCCACCGAGGGCTTTCTTTCTAATTCACCCGTTTCCGATCTCCGATTTTCATGGACTACAGAGATGAGGCCGCCGATTCTCCGACGATCAAACACCGCCTGATCTCCTCCTGCCTCCTCTCCCCCTTCCGCCGTCACAACCACCACCACCCCCTCTCCTCGCCTCGCCACCACCGCCACCCGTCCCTCACGCACACCCCGTCCCGCGCGTGGGGATCCAGGTCGCCCGTCCGCCGCCGCACCAGCGACGGGGACCTCGCGTCGACCCCCGGGAGGGCCGCGGCGGCGGTGGGGAAGGAGAAGTGCATGCAGTTCATCTCCCGGATCGGCTGCGGCGTCGGGCAGGCGGGCGGAGGAGGAGGCGGCGGAGGCGGATGCGGCGGCGGAGGACATCATCACCGGCGAAGGCACTCGGTGGGCGGGGATTTCCACTACGACGCGCTGAGCTACTCGCTGAATTTCGACGACGGGAATTTCGATGATGACGTCAGCGGGGAGCTTCCGTCGCGGGATTTCTCGGCGCGGTTGCCTCATTCGCCGCCGCCGCCCCCTGCTCGCAGAAACAGGGAGATCCAATGCAGTTTCTGATCAATTGAATTCATTGTTTTCTTTCTTTCTTCTCATCTTTCTTTGCAATGTGTGGAATTGATTTGTGGGTTTGTTTGATTTGTTCGAGATCGATGTTCGTGTTTATCGGATCGTGATTTACTGTTAATTAGTTTAATTTGCATGCATGTACATCATCATTAGACAAATTGAACGACGGAAGGTGTGTGATCGGAGAGAGATTGATTGGTAGTGACGGAGGCAGAGATCTGTATCGAAACTACAAATGCTTACCAATTAAAAAAAATTCAAATTTATTACAAAATCTACATATCGAAACTACAAATACTTATCGAAACTACAAATCTACATGTAATCGATTTTCCGACGATGAGGGTGACCGCCGGCCGGTGGAGGAAGTGATTGTTCATCAAGCCTTGGTATAATCGAGATTTTGGGGTATAGCTTAGGTTAGCTCGCAGAATAGAATTGACGTGTGGAGGAGTCATGTTGAAGAGAAGGATTTCTTGGTTCTATATGTAAAGGCCATCGATGAGAACCAAGAAGCAAAGAAGGAACCAAAACCCTAACACACCAAGAAACGGCATACGTACCCCAAAAGACAGATTAAGCATTTCTTGTTCCGAATCCAAATCCCGATCGACCTGACCAATGTTCAAATCATGTCTAATGCTTAGCACGCCTAAGCAACGCCTAAAATTTTAAGCAGAAATATCGGCTTTTAGTAGAAATAAAAGTTGTATGACATTTGTTTTACTTTATATCAATTTCAAACGATTAATAACTTAGGTAACCTCAACAACAAGTAAAATAATTTTATAAAGACATGAGTTTATAGAAGTCATGGATTGTTGCTTCTTTGTGGTCAACGACGGTGAAGAACAAGACAAAGGGTCAAGTTGACCAGAGCTGGAGAAGAACCGAAGACGTGTGTTATGGCTACTCTGTGATCGACGACTTGAGATACATTCACCGATTTGGCTCCTCAATTGGACAGAACTCAGACGTAAGAAATGACATAGTTTATATGAGTTGGAAATGAAGAGTTCATCGGCTGCTGTATGTTAGTAGTTTTCGAATGGGCTACCAGGCAGATTATAGATGGTTCTATGACCACTTATTTAAAATAATAAACATGATGTTTTATCGGATCATTTAAGAAAACCCAAAATTAGTAATTTATTTCACTTGATTACCATAGAAACTAAAGTGCAACGGTGACATATGTGTATAAAAATTACATATAATGTAGGGAGGAAAAAAAAACAAAAATAAATTATTATAATGCTAAATCTTCAACAATCACCACTTCTTTTCACTCATCAATAAGTGTGCCGCTAGACTTTAGGTTCTATCCAACCACAAATGTGCACTTTACTAGTAGGTAGGATAGGAAGTCTTCCATCGCTTCATCGTCATAGTCGAACGTGTGATATTTACGCGTATCTAGTGAATAAAACACAATGCTTCCTTTGGCAGAACGTCAAGGGAAGTATATTTTGTTTTCCATTCCAGGAATTTTCGCCATGGTCGAGAAACATGAAGTGTTGCTCAGAAACACCATGTTCGATCCCAAGCTCTTGACTCTCCACCAACCCTTCTTCTGTCGATCGAACCGGCAAACTAGAATTGACTTGCCAAGATCACCCACTAGTATAGACAGGATTTCACCTCCACATTCCACTAGATACTCCCTCTTGAATTTACGGTCCTCGTGAGGATCCACGACAATGCTCTCGACGTGGTGGGGTAGGAGCTTCCACGGGTATACGTCGCGTTCCCATTCGTATATCCCATCGACGTCACGGCAACAGCTGAAAACACCTAATTTTCTCTTCTTATCCAGGAAGTAGAACTTATCGTCCAGAAAAGCCGGGGTGTTGTGGTCGCTAGGTTGAAAATTCACCTCCGCGTCCTCCAAGTAAAAGGATTCCAAAATGCTAACATAAATATTGGTCGAGGCAATGGATTCACTGCGGGGTCGAAGATGTCCTCCTACATGCACGTCAGCAACCAACGCTCCTTGGAGAAGAGAATGCAAGTAGTTAAATTTGACGATGAAGATTTGGGAAGCAGTTGTTGTGGATTGGTGAATGTGTTTCGACATCTCAAGTCGTGGAGATGGAGGCTTTTGGTGTGGTGCTGAAAGAAGAAGAACCATGGATACGAGGAGGGAGACTGGAGTGGTAGGCCGTCCAAGGAAGTCATCAACGGCGCTATCGATTTCAATGTCTTGCAAGAACTGCGCCAGTTCCTGTAATCACCCACCACAGTCAATCGTCTTGTTACGTTGTGAAGCATGTCCAAAGAGAGGTCTAGTATCGATACGGTCCTGGATACCCAGTCCGATTAAACGAAGGGCACGTGGAATATAGTGATTAGGACAGATGGAGATGACGTCATTTTGGGAAGATTAACTACAATTTTTTTTTATATCCTTGATCTGTCAGTGCGATTAAGCTATCCTCGTTTTGATTAATCACACCTCACGCCAATTTTGAATTATGCATAGTTTTGCCTAGGCGGTATGAACACCTAATTTTTTTTGCATAGAAGAGTTGTTTTCCATTTCTAAACCTAGGCGTACACATAATTATTATGTCTTCTTGAACCTGAATAGTGACCAATTGTTAGGTTCCACAACGATCTTGTGGGCTTTATGTAGGTTCCCTGTAATCGCTATTTCGTAGCTCAACAATGTAAACACGGGCCTGCTTGCGGGCTCGTGAGCCACATATAGCCCACATTCTGGTTGCTCAAGAAGTCCAAAAGAACACAGGAGGCAACACCGATGTGAAGAGCTTCTTGTTTCTTTCGTTTTCCCAGGGTGATAAACATTTCTGTCTTCGACTCTTTGGTAACGAAATTGGAACACGTAATTTCCATATATTAATTACCTTGGGCCGCCATCCTACTGCAGCAAAGACAGAAATTTGACTATAAACTAATGGTGTGAGCTCCATTTGGGCCCAAAATGCCCAAATCGAGGGGTCTCTTTCGAATGGCCCAAAATGGTGGGTCTCTGCACACTGCACTCCATGGAAGTGTAACGAACCGCACAAGTGACACAACTAATCTAACTAACTAAACCATGTCCACTGAAGCGTCGCTATTGCTGTAGTCAACGTCGAAAAGGAGGAAGAGACGACGACGAAGGATTAGGTTGCTTTTGTTGGCTTCTTTTTCTTCTTGTGGCAAAACATGTAACTTTCCATCGAAGTATATGTAAAGAGTGAGCACAAGATCGATGTTTGGAGTAAGCTAGGTGGCAAGGTTTCTTCCTTTCGTTATTGTGTACCAAAGGGCAATGAAAGTGGAAAACGAAAAGATCCTTCTTGATGAAACAAAATGGATATACTTGTTCGTTTGGAGGTTCGTAGGAGATGGGTTTGGAACTTTGGATGGTAAGATACATGATGGGGTTGGTATTGTATATGTTTGGTATTAATATAGTAAGTTAGTAACATTGTAAGAGGAGAAACAAAAGATCATTAAGAACTAGCGACAATCGACAGAGTTGTATGCATGTGTGAATCACTCATTGAAAATATGAAGTGTATCTACGAAAATCGTATTGATGATGGTTGTTGTCGAGAGGAAGTCCAATGAGAAACGACGAACAAAGAAGAAACTAAGAAAACACTAAGCCTTTCGGCTGCTAAAAAGCAAAAAATCGATGAAAATGGCCACAAAAATCACTTCTATAGTCCAGCCTAAGTTGCATTGAATAGTAAACTTATGTGGAGCGATACGAAGGCTGAATTCATATTTGTCTAAAACTTCTCACATCATCTACATGTATACAAAATTCAATCAGATGTGTAACATTCTTATCAAAATGAATCTAAACCCAAAATTCTAAACCGCATTAGTGTCAAATTCATGACAAATATAAGGACCCCTTTTGTCACCAGGTGTTTCATTTTCTCCCTTAAACTAGGGTATTAAGTAGTATACCCTTTCATCACCAACCCCAAAAATGTGTTTTGACAAATCAATCCCATTTAACCTATAACGACAAAAACATATATGGGAGTATTGGACTAGTAGTGCCTTGGCAAATCAATCTAATTTGACACAATAACGACCACGCCTCTTTATCATATAGTGACGAAACCGACACTCAAAACCGCGTAAAGAAAATCCAGTCTTTACTGATTCTTTTTGGATTATCATAAGACGAAATCAAAGATTAAAGAATGAAAACCCAACTGCTGCTGCAGGGATTAAGTAGTGGGGAGACTGTTACTTCACACTGCTATCCAATTATTTTCGCCGCCCATGGATTTGACTCATCAGAAAGGTTTGATCAGTCTGCCCATTTCCCCTAATTATGGGGCAGAGAAGAGATAACGTTCTATGTATGGACTATGGCACAGTGAGGAAACTTCCCATTGAAGTAGTTATGTCGGTTTTTATCCGTTACCCCTTCTGACCACTTCCCTTGGAAAAAGCTTCATTCCACAGTGGCTGGATCGATTTATCTGCAGTAGTGGCTTGTCGGGTTTTAACCGTCTCTGTGAAATCGTATCGTATTGGCGGTTCGATGAAGGAAAAAAAAATTATCGAAGGCTAATTCAGTAAGGCTATTTTTAGAGTTGTAAAATGGTTGAACCACAGTTAAATCACGATTTCAGCGGATGAGTCTAACGTATAAATCATTCGTTGGGGAGGAAGTTTTTACTCTTTATTTTTAGGGTTTTAGGGTGTATTTGAATTTGTCAAAGATTTAGCATGAATCTTTCTGTTATTAGTATAAAGTGTGAGATCGAACTTATATTATACCCAATAAAAGAAGAAAAAAAAATACATTTGAACTCTCGAGTTTTTGTCGGTCTAGCTAGTAATAATGAATCGGTAAAAATCATTCAAACCGCCATGAGTTTCAAATGTATAAAATCAACATCTGTCATAAAGTCTTATGGAAATTATTCTACACAAATTACACTTAAAGAGTAGGACACATTTGGATTTTGTTTATTCCTCCTCCTCAACTTGCATGGGTGCATTTTGTATTTTAGTCGTCAATCATGCATTGATACAATACAATGGTCAATTCCATTCAATTCAATACAACTTGAAGCCAAGAAACAGAAATTTCAGGCAATTGGCCGACATATCTAAGCATTGAATTTGGGAATCCCCCAACGTGCAAGTAAAACACACTTGAAAGAGAACGACTTGAGTGAAAGTGAACTCTGATTTGAATGTCGCATGTGACATTCAACCAAATTATGATATTATTGAAATATCTGTCACCATACTTACATGGACGATTATATTAATTGAAATTTACCTTCATTTCATCGAGAGGTCCCGACATTAAAATGTTCTATTAGGTCTATCGAATATTCACGAAATCTTTCTAGTTTCCTATACACGTCGATTCGTTGAATGTTCAATTAGGTTTATCGACATGAAAAAGTGTTCTATTAGCAATTGATTCAGTAGGATGACCAAACTTACACATTCCCTCTTTTGCATGTTCGGTTGGTGTTTGACTGATTAATGTAATGATAAATATAAGGTCGTTTGGGCCAAGTTGCTACATAATTAATGTAACGTTAATCAAACGCCATACCTAAACTATGAAATATTATTTCTTACCTGCTAGTCAACAACTAGTGAGCCTCCTTACTGAATTACGTACAAGATGTTAACTACATAATGATTAAGCTGATCCAATAGTTAGCGAGGAGTAAGTATATACTAATCACTATAATTTGGTGACATATACATTGGTTCATGCCGTGAAGTAAGCTCTTTAACGATATGGTTTAGTTGCATCTACAATTGCTTGGGAGAAGCTATTGATTATTGTTACAATAATGTGCCTATTTTATAATTTATTGGTGTTTCCATGTTACATGGAGTTTGTGATGCGGGTTCGGACACCTCCGAATTGATCGGTCGAATTTTGGTCGGTTTTCGATGTTAAACTCTCGTCATTTGATTGATGTATTTAATTATATTTGAAAGACATGAATTACAAGTCATTATGACTTTATGAGCACATGATTATCCCCTTTTATCTCTCAATTCTTCTTTAATAACGACATCCTCTGTTCTTTAACAGATCTTCAATCTATCCGGTATAAGTTAGTGTCTCGAAATTTCCTATAAGATTCATCATTTTGAGTTGTACTAGGTACAATTTATATATTTTTCGCCACATGTAGAATTATTTTATTGGATGAACAATTTTTTTTGTTACAACTGAGATAAAAGTTAGAATCAAAGAAGACATAGAGAAGATTTGCGAGATACTTTTGATCGAAAAGTGAGCACTTGCAGTCGAAATTGGTTAGCAAGTATGAAAGAAATGACAAAATATATTCATCCTCAATGTGTTTTCCCGAGTTAACACTTGCTCAATCACAACTCACAGGGGCCCCTCCAAGTTCATCTTCCATTTCTATGGTTCGATGTTTCACTCAAATCTCTTCATACTCTATTGTCGTCGTATCATTGGTTATTGATTTCTCAAAGAGAGGGGATGTATTATGTCAGCATATTATGGACAAGTGTACGTAAAACAACGCATACACTAAATAAGTATCATGTCGATATTAATACTAATTAAATCTAATATCTTTAACTTAATAAAGCGTCATATCTATCCTTAACACAAACAACTCAACATCACATTTATCATTCCGAAACAAAATAAAATATGTGCATAAAATCAAATGGTTACCCCTTAGGATATGAGTAAACTACTTCACCAAACTAGAAAAAATACACTATATACAATATCAAAGCAAACTTGGTCTAATATCATTCCTTGATTTGGCTTTTACCAAAAGCTCAATAGCTATAAACAAATATGTAAAAACTCACCCAAATCTCTCTACCCCACAACAAGTCACCTTCAAATCAAAACAATATTTGTCATTTTCTAGATACCACCCTCCAACCCAACACCCTCCAACTAGGGCTGCAAATGAGCCGAGTCGAGTCGAGTTTTACCTCAACTTGAGCTCGGCTCGTTAATAAACGAGTCGAGCTCGAGCTCAGCTCGTTTATTAATGAGTCGAGTCGAGTTCGAGCTAGCTTGTTTATTAAAATCTTAACTTCTATTTGGTACTTCATTTTGTATATCATGATACAAATGATTTATTTTGTTAGTTAATCTCATCTTATACTTTATACTTTGTTGGTATCATATATCATTTAGTTAATAAATTTTAACTACTCCAAATCATGTTATTTCATTGTATCGAAGCAATCTATGATGCATAATTTCTTTTTAAAGTAGAAAATAAGATATATTTGCTCACATACTCAACGTGCAAAACTTTATATATGGTGAGATATATAAATTAACAACCATATGAATTAAAATCATAAGATATAGATTGATTCGTCCATAAGTTGGTAATCGAGTTGGCTCTCTAGCCACATGTTAAGACATATCATGAGCTCTAAACGAGCCAGCTCACGAGTTTAGCTCAACAAGCCACCGAGTCGAGCTAGCTTGCGAGCTTCACGAGCTGAACAAAGGTGAGCTCTTGTTCGGCTCATTTATTAACGAGCCGAGTTTCGAACGAGCTTTTCTCGAGTCGAACGCCGAGCCGCTCGCGAGCAGCTCGGCTCATTTGCAGCCCTACCTCCAACCCAACACAAAATATATCATAAACTTTTTTTTTACTCATATTTAATTTAATTTAACTGGTCCCTCCCCCCAAAAAATGAAAAAGTACAAAAATTTACAATTATATATATTTGCATGAAACCGTCCACGTGCCTTCACCCATTCTCCTGCCTTCCTTAAAACCTAAGAATTTCAAGCACAAGACACCACACCCACCACTTCCCCTGTTCTTTGGCCATTTCCTCCAAATTTTCTTTTTGATTCCCAGCAAAAACCCATAAATCCAAATCCCTCAATTAGTGCATTTAGCAGCCAAAAGATGGATTCTTTTTAAAAGGGTACGAGGGAAACAGAATAACAATAACAATTAAGATTCAGAGGCAGAGGCAGAGGCAGAGCAAGGCGAGAAAGAGAAGACGAAGGCACAATATAAAAGAAAGATTCGGCGAGTTTCCTGAATCAGAAGCTAGAAAGCTCGCTCCTTTGCGGGAAGAAAAGAAAAAGGCGAAGCTGCACCGACTCGGCTGGGGACCGAACACACTCTCTCTATCGTCATTTCCCACTTGGGGTACTTATCCGTTTTCCCCCCCTTCTCCTTGGTTTTCGAAACTCTGTATTGAGCTAAAATTCCTCGCATTTACAATCCCTCGTTGAGAATTCGTCAATGGGGGTTTTGATGGTGTTTGTCTGATGAATGTAATCGGGCGGCGCTGAACCCCCGCAATTAGCAAAACCCTAGGTTTTCTGATTCGTTCCCACATTGTACCCCTTTTTTTGTGTGAATAAGAGGCTTTCTCTATGGCATTTGATCACAACTTGGTTTCAAAAGATCTGAGGCCGGTGAACGTTGCTCGGCCTTTGATCGACGATGGCCGCATTGGGGTGGTGGGAGGAGGAGCAAACACCGCGCCTAATTCAGCTACGTCGGCGGCGACGGTTATGAGCCCTGAATTTTTCACCGCCGCCCCCGACGGGACGATTCCGGTTTTCTATTCAACAGCAGCGGTGCCGGATTCCGGCGGGTATGTTGGCGTAGGGTATAGGAATGTGGCACCGGCGGCCGTTGCACAGTGGGTCCCGGTGGCAGCAGCAGCTGGTAATGTAAATATTGGTGCGACGACTGTTCCAGCTGCTGTAGGGTACGGTTATAATCATCCTAATAATTTGGGGAATAGGGTAGTGGGTAATGCTGTTGATCAAGCTAGTACTGAAATGTTGGTAGGTGGATTTGGTTCCAATCCTCGTACTAACCCCAATTCGAACAACGATTTGTTGAACTCGGGTCATGGTTACAGCCCGAGTGCAGCCAATCGGGGGAGTGGTGGTGGTGGGGTCGATCACACGAGCGAAGATGGTGGGGATGACTCGGCATCTGGGAAGAAAGTCAAGCTGTTGTGTAGTTTTGGAGGGAAGATTCTGCCTAGACCGAGCGATGGTGCATTGAGATATGTCGGAGGGCAGACGCGGATTATCAGCGTGAGAAGAGAAGCGACATTTGGTGAGCTGATGCGGAAGATGGTGGACACATATGGGCAACCGGTTGTTATGAAGTACCAGCTTCCCGATGAGGATTTGGATGCATTGGTTTCAGTCTCGTGCCCTGAAGATCTCGATAACATGTTGGATGAGTATGAGAAGTTGGTGGAGAGATCCTCAGATGGCTCTGGTAAATTGAGGGTGTTCCTGTTTTCAGCTGCAGAGCTCGATACTTCTGGTATGGTGCAGTTAGGAGATATGCAGGATAGTGGTCAAAGATATGTTGATGCAGTCAATGGGATTGTTGCCGACAATGGTGGTGGCGGGATGATCTCAAGGAAGGAGAGTATGGCTAGTGCTACCTCGACTCAGAATTCAGATGTTAGCGGGGCTGAAGCAGTTGACATCCAGGGTTTCGGACTAGGGGATGTGACTGGAACTTCATCGGTCAGCGGGCTTTCTCCTAAGGGGAATTCAGTTAACTCCCAAGATGCTACCCCGAGATTGTTGTCTGGGGATCCTAATCCTAACCCACCACTTTATGCTGACACATCATCTGTTTCTTTGGGGATTCCACTTATGAATTCCGGTTCTCCTCCGGCATTAATTTCCCAGCAAGAGTTTGATTTTGAAAGGTCAGCTGCTCCGGTAAATCTGTCACAGCAGCAGATGGGATATGAACTACCTCAAACAGGAATGCCAGTTCAATCGAATGCACCTCATCTGCCAGCATATAGGGACTATTTACATGCAGCTCCTCAAATGGGATACCCGAATGCCCAAATGTTGGCCACTGCTGGTGGGTCCCTGTTCACTCAACAACCGATTCATGATGTTAATGCTTCTCTGAGTCCTCATCAGTATATCCCCGGAGTGCACATGACGATGGCACCCTCATCCTCTCATGCTCCCATGAGGCCCGCGATGGTTCAACCCATGATGCAAGCTCAACCAACTCGGTTGGACCATTATCCAAACGAAAATATGTATGGAACGAGGATAATGCAGATTCCGGTCGATTCGAACTACAACATGTATCAGACACAGGTTCCTCAGCCGGCAGTTATTGGGGGAGGGTATAGCTGGAGGCAGGTTCCTCGGCCAGAACATGTTGTCTATTCTGATGGTATGATTCATCATCAACAAGTACAATATCCTGAAAAAACTTCAAGACTGGATGATTGTCTGATGTGTCAGAAAGCATTGCCTCATGCACACTCTGATCCTGTTGTTCAAGAACAAAGTCCTCTGTCTCTTGACTCAGTCTATCATAGTCTTCGTTTGGAAGAAAGTTCGAAGGTCCGGCCATTGAACAGGGTAATGGTGACTGGAGCGTTGGCGGAAGGCACTGTTGGAGCTCAATCAGAAGCAATGGATTTACCTCGGTGTGCTGAGGCATTTCATGAAGCCGAGAAAATTTCCCCCAGGAAGAAGGAAGTTCCTCCGGAGCAACCTAAGATGTCGGCTCCTCTTGGTATGATGGGTATACAAAGTGATGCTCAGTCTAGTTATGGGCTGTTAATGGGTGCTATGCCTCAATCTCGGGCAGATGATTCTCTTCAACAGCAGCATCCAGTGGCAGCACCTCGTGTAGCTGGTGGTGATCCACCTGTTCAAGCTTCCGAAGGCATGATATATGAGGCTCCAAGGGCACCACAAGTTGGTAACCTTCCGCATGTCGTTTCAAAAGAAAACATGCTTGATTCTTTTGTTCCACACGACCAGCTGAAACCAATTGAGGGCCACAAGCCAGCTACCGATCAGAAAACCCAGCACGTTGTACCTTCAAGGGAGTTGCTTCCGGACTCGAATTATCTCAAGCCAGAAGCTTTGCCTGCTGCTGAATTCTCATATCTACACAGCTCTCAACCCATCGAACCATATGATGTTGCTCAACCACGATATTCAGGCGATCCGGGAGCACATCTGCACTCCATGGTTGGTGCTCTCTTAGATTCTGGTGATGTCAGTTGTGTCAATCCACAGTATGTTGTTGAGCCCGTGTGTCATGCTGATAGAGTCCATCCTCCTGTTAGCGAGAGCAATTCTGATATCTCCAGGCTACTAACGAGTACTCTTGCCAATGAAGTGGAATCCTTAGCACTGAGTGGGGATCCACCATCTACAGCATCACCATCTAGTAGACTTGGGGCAATGCAGGAATCTTCAGACTCCCTTTTCAGCAACCAGGATCCTTGGAACTTGAGGCACGATACTCATTTCCCTCCTCCTAAACCTCTCAAGATTGCGACTAGGAAGGACACTTTGAGTACTGGAGATCCTTTCAAGGAAAGCAACATTGTTAATGCCGGGGAATTGGTTCCAGATGTGCTGTTGGATGATGGAATTTCTCAGACACACTGCGGTTCGGAGCATACTCTATCTTCCAAAGGTTAGAAATTTCTTTATCTTGCATGTTTGTTAGTTAAGAAGCAACCCCTTTTTGTTCTAATCTGTCTGTGCCAACCTTTATACACAGGCTCAGAGGATAGGCTTATCAAACAAGAACTTCAGGCTGTAGCTGAAGGAGTAGCTGCCTCTGTTTTTAAGTCGAGTACACCAAGTACTGACTTAACTGGACATGATGGAAATCAAACTCCTTTCGGAGCAAGTGAACAACCCAAGGAGGCTGCCTCGATTAAAGACGTGGAAACACAGTTTAAAGCTAAAGCTGAGGTGGACCCTTGTTAATACCGTTCCTTTTTGTTGCCTTGTTTCTACTACATTGCATTTATATTAGCACTACTATTGCTAAAAAAATTATATACATCATTTCATCAGGATCTGAAGAACAAACAGCCGGAAAAGGTGAACGTGGGATTTCCAATGTCGGAAGGTGCAGGACGCCTACAGGTTGGACATTGTTATGCAACATTATTTTAGGCAACTGAACTTCTCTTACACTTATTTGGCTCAAACCTCCATTTTGGAACAGATTATAAAGAGTGGTGACCTTGAAGAGCTATTCGAATTGGGTTCTGGTACCTTTGGAACAGTTTACCATGGAAAGTGGCGGGGTACAGATGTTGCAATTAAGCGGATCAATGACAGATGTTTTGCAGGAAAACCTTCAGAACAAGAACGCATGGTTAGACATTCTGTTTCTATAAGATAATCAGATGTTTTCCCACGTTGTTCCGGCCTCTTTTCCTCAAAACTGCTATTGATTTTTCATGTATGCCTATAAACCAGATTGACGATTTCTGGAATGAAGCTATCAAGCTTGCTGATCTGCACCACCCAAATGTGGTAGCTTTTTATGGGGTTGTACTAGATGGCCCTGGAGGTTCCGTAGCAACTGTGACTGAGTATATGGTTAATGGCTCTTTGCGGACGGCTTTGCAAAAAAACGAGAGGTATTTTCTTTATCTCTTGATATTAACCATGTAATGCTTTCATCCTTGTATCTCCTTTCTATCCAAAATTTTGATTTGGAAAGTGTTTGTTTATCAGGAGCCTGGACAAACGTAAGCGCCTCTTAATCGCCATGGACGTGGCTTTTGGCATGGAATATCTGCATGGGAAAAATATAGTTCATTTCGACCTGAAGAGTGACAATCTGCTAGTTAATCTTAGAGATCCGCATCGTCCGATATGCAAGGTTAGTCGTCTTATTTGTTTATGTTCGAGCTGTGTATACTAGTTTCACCTTCTCATATTTCTGTTATTCGTGGACCTTCCTATGTACTGTATTGTCATCAGTACTTGTGTACTTGTATAGCTAAAAGGTTGCTTGGTTACTATATTACTGAAATACATATAGTTTCACAATGCATGTATTCTGAATGTATGATTTATAAAATCTATGTATTGGCATCATGTAGTGTTTGGTTAAGATAATTGTAAAAGAAATGACTGGTGAAGCCCGCCGCAGGCATGTATTCCTGAGAGCTCTGGTAGTTACCAATGATTTGAAAACATGCGTCCTGCAATGCATGGTCTCTTACAGGTTCAGGAGGAAAACTGCATGTTGGTAGAAACCATGCATTCTTGAAACGAGTGGAACAATACATGATTACCTAAACGACAATTAGTTGTATTCCTTCTCGTTGAAGACTTACTTTATGTTATGTTTCCAGGTTGGCGATCTGGGCTTGTCGAAAGTAAAATGTCAAACGCTAATCTCAGGTGGTGTAAGGGGAACACTTCCATGGATGGCACCTGAGCTTTTGAACGGCAGCAGTAGCCTTGTATCTGAGAAGGTTTCTCATTTTCTCTCTTAAAAACATATCACATTACAAGAACCCTTTGAAGATGGTCCAGTTCGTCGGATTATTAAACCTCCCGCTGGTTCTTTCATATAGGTTGATGTGTTCTCATTCGGTATCGTGTTGTGGGAGCTTCTTACTGGGGAAGAGCCATATGCAGACTTACACTATGGCGCGATAATAGGTAACAATTAGTCAACTGAGTGACACCATCCTGGCATCGCGCTGTTGTGGTGACAAATGATTATGACATACAAAACCCTTTTTGACAGGTGGCATTGTCAGCAACACCCTGAGGCCGCCAGTGCCAGACTCTTGTGACCCGGAATGGAAATCGTTGATGGAGAGATGCTGGTCCTCAGAGCCTGCCGAGAGGCCGAGCTTTACCGTGATAGCGAACGAGTTGAGAGCAATGTCAGCCAAGATACCTTCCAGGGGGCAGACTCCCGCTCAGCAAGGTGCTTCCGCGCAACCTCAACCTCAAAAGTGAGTCTCCAGGGGAGTTGGTTCTTTCCTCGTGGCTCAATGGAGACAGAGTTAGCAGACATCAGAGGTAATCTGCTGCAAGTCAATATGGGTTTATCTGTAGGAAGGATGAGAACGCCCGTCATTTAACCTTTACCTTATTTTCTTTAGTAGAGATGATTATAGTTGCTGGACTCTTTTAAGAGTAACTAGGGGTTTTTTTTTTAATGGTTGTGACTAGTGTTTTTGGTTTCGTTTCCTGTGTGCAAAAAGGGTCAAAAAGGAAAAAAAAGAAGAAATTTTGTTTCGTGTACTTGAAACTTTCGTCTCATTGACAATCTTGTTATATATATCATTATATTTGTGTACATTATTCGAAGAAAACGAGCTTAGAAATGTTCAAATCCAAAATGGTCTGCAGATCTAACTAACCTGTTGTTCTGCCTCTACCCATGAGTTAGGCAACAACCCATCTGCAGAAAATGCAGTCAACTTCCGGGAAAGGAAGGAACTTTCGTTCACACACTTACGAATCTTCCACTGTTCAGTTCTTCAGTAACTCTTCCCAGCCGCAGCCCTGATACCTTTTTCGTCTGCCACGGCCGCCGCTTTCTGCATTTGTTTCTTCCCTTTTCAAACCCCAGCTGGATGCTGTTTTCACTACAGTTGCACGTCTTCATTGATTGCGTTAAAACTAAACGAAGGTGGGACGAAGTTTTCCGTTTTTTCCCTATGGGTAAGGCTTGGACAGAAGAAAGGAGAAGTCTTTTCTGGTCATATTTGCTTTGATATCAAGCCCAAGAAGAAAGAGTTAGAATAGTCGTCTTTCGGCCGGTTGGTGGAGGGGCAGAGTTGTAGTTATCACTCGCGTATGGTAAAAACTGACTCGTTTTACAGAGTCCGCGTAAACAAAGCGCACAAGGCAAACAGTTAGCTTCGCAGCAAGGAGCCGGCAACGAGGAAGAAGAACCCAACGAAAGATCTCACTGTTTTGGATAAATGCAGACTGGTTATGCTTGGAGAAGGAATCGGGGTAGGTCGATCCATTATAATACGTGATTCAAAGATGCATAAAACAGCTGGACTTCGTTATGAAAAAGTTAAGTGAGAAGCACTTTCTATTATATTAAGAGGATAAAAACTATATGATTCTGAAGCAAATGGTTTATGAGATGCTAGCTTACACGAATCGGAAATAGGATTAAAAAATGAATTTATGTCAAGGAAATACGGGATGGTACAAGAGAGAATCGAGATAAAAACGAGTTGTGAGTGGAGCAAGGTGTATAATGGGAGGATGGTTAATGCCTCATTTTGATTTCACGATACTCACAAATAGGGGTGGGCATTGGTGCGGTCAAACCGCTCCGAACCGCACCAAATCGCTTTTGTGGTCGAGCCAAACCGCACCATAAGTTTGCGGTTTAATAAGCGGTCTGAATTTTTAGCGGCTCGCGGTTCGCGGTCGGGTTTATCCAAAACCGCGCTGTTGCGGTTTGAAACCGCAAACCGCAAATGACTTTTATTGGTCTCCGCTGCCTTTTCGCTACTACTTCTGCCCATCATTCTGCTTTCACAGCGACGGTGGCGCGGCCGAATTACTTGACTGGGATGCGTAGAAATCCGGAGAGGTTCTGCTGGGCGATGAATTTTGCAGTGTTCTGATTTTTGTTTTTGTTTGTGAAAGTGTTCCCATTAATTCTGTTGCCGGAGTAATGGTAATGGTTTGCCTTTGAGCTGCTAAGTAATTAATAGTAAATTAAGGATAATTGAACTCATACGGGATTGATATATATATACATATATAATTAGTTATTACTAGTTATTAAATATTATTTTTTTCTTACAATTACATTAGAAATGAATTCAAACTTCTCAATTCAATAATGCATAGTTCATACTACATTTCGGTCAAATATGCGGTGCGGTTTGGATCGCACCAAATCGCTTATCGAAGCGGTTTGGTTTGACCGCTCCGTTTAAATTGCGGTTAATATGCGGTGCGGTCCAAATAACATGCGGTACGGTGCGGTTTATGTCAATACGGTGCGGTGCGGTCCAAACCGCACCAATGCCCACCCCTACTCACAAACGTAATTACTAAATAATGTAGTATGAACTATCATTATTGACATAAACCCCTACTCACAAACGTAATTCCAAACCGCACCAATCCAGGAAAAAACAAAACACACAGGGGTCATTTGGATGCAGGTTTTGGGTGTGGGATTTGGGCACAATCATACATAATGTGGGATTTTATTAAAATCACTCGTTTGGAAAGCAATTATATGATAAGAGATTTTGAATATTAGAGATTTCAGAAACCCACAATTGTGGGATTATGAAATAGCTGATGGTGATCAGCTATTTTAAAATCCCACACAAATCCCACAAATTAAAAACCTAGGTTTATAAACCAGTGATTTGAGCCAAAATCCCACAAATTAAAAACCTGAATCCAAATGAGCCCTTAGAGAACGAATCGAAACAGATCGAAGCATTTTGAGTATTGATTGTGTTTAGAATTACCAAACGAAACACCATTGACACGTGGCTGAACACCATTGACATTTTCATACAAGATACAACTAATCTCACCAAACGAAACAGGAAACCTGAAGTGGGAAGACAAATTGGTCAGACTTCTCTGAACCTTCCTTCCCCCACCCATTTGCTTGTCGAAATTTCCGTTTCTCCATCGTTGAATTTCAAAGCACATATATAACTTAGCTGTCTCCTCCCTTCCTCATCTATTTTGTACTGCCCAATCTCAAGCTCACACCAGCCCCAACCTCTCGCCGCCAAATGGAAACAGAGCGTCTCCGTCCAGCTGCCGCCGCCGGCAGCTACCAAGACGAAGAGAACAACTCAGCCTTCTCCGCCTGCAACTGCTTCGGCTCCTTATTCTCGAGATGGGGGAGCAAAACCGCCAGCAACGAAAGCAACAGCTACCTTCTGATGCAAAACAGGGGAGGAATGAAAACAGGGGAAGGCGAAAACCAGCAGCAGAAAACAGAGCCGCCGTCGCCGTCGTCGTGGGTCATGAGCCAGGTGAAGAAATTGAAGGAGGTTTCGGAGATGGTTGCGGGGCCTAAGTGGAAGAACTTCATTAGAAAAAAACAGAGGAGGAATCAGAAGTTCAATTACAATGCAGAGAGCTACGCCCTCAACTTCGATTGCGGGTTGGAGGAGGAGGAGTACGATTACGTTCCTGGCTTTTCACAGAGGTTCTCCGCCGCCGCCGCGGCGGTTCCGGTGGATAACAGGAATCGTGAAGCTTTTGGGTTGTGACAGGGATCAGGGGATGCTCTGTTAATGAATTTATTCATTCTTGTTCTTTTTCTAAATTCATTGTCCTGTTGGATAATTCAATGGTCTGAATGAATGAAACTCGAAACTTAATTTGATGGTCTGATATTTGTAATGAAGTGCAAAGAAAAACAGAGCAAATTGTTGCATAGGTCAGTGGCCATGGATGACCAAAAAAAAGGAAAAGAGTGTCGGCAATGATTAGTTTGAAGTTAATTTGTTTGGTTAGGATCTAAAAAAGTTGGTGATAATGACGATTAACACGGAGGATAATTGCACATCTTAATCCTTATAGTTATATTAATGATTTCATATCGGCTTCTTTATCTAAGATTGTACGTCCGAGAGACTAATTCAATCTCATGAATATCCGATAAACTAATGAAAATTATGGTAACTACAATTAACAAGAAGGATAATTGTCACCGTCTAATCAGTATAGCTAACATAATTAGTTTATATCGACTTCTTTATCTCAAGTCATATGTATGAAGATTATTCCAATCTTATGATATCCGATGAACTCATGAATATAAATGACTTAGATCTATATATAATCTTGTTGATAGTCACCAAAGAATTTTCCTTGGTACTATCTCTATTCGGAAATTTTCTCCTCTTAATTTTCTCACTTTATATCATTTATGAACGATTGTTGCTTGTATTAAAAATGGTCTGGGGAACATGAGTTAATGGAGGTGAAGGAAGCAAGGCAGTCTTTTCCTATTAGCTAAAAGTCCCTGTTTTCAGCCCAGACAGAGAATTATGAGGAAAAGGAACCGTGTTTTTCCTTCTTCTTCTTCTTCTGCTGCTGCTGCCGCCCTTTCTTTAATCCTCTGTCGGAAAGGATCGTTAATGCCAAAACAACACACAGCAAAAAACGTACGACTTGTTCCTGCAAGTCTTTTGTCCTGCAGGAACAAGGTTCCTTCAGCCTTCAAACAAGCATGGTGAATTTAATTAGCATATACTTCTCTGCCCATTCAGAAGGCGATGAGAAGATCTTGGTGAGTATTACTAGGAACATAGGATTTGAGATGAATTGGATTTTTGAAACGCTTGAAAAGAAAAAAAAAAGATTTTGGTGAGTTAGACACATTGATGGGGATGATTTAATAAAGGTTTACCAAGCTGTTATGTTGGTTATTGTAAACTTCATTTACAAATTCATTAAGAATCGAAGTCAGAATGATCTATTATTAGTAGCCTCAAAGTTTGTGAAAAACTATGTGTTCATGCGACAACTCATTACCATTACACATGCCTTAAAATCAAGGATGTATGGTCATATAGGAAATTGCATCGAAAAAGTTAACAATACGATATTTTATGTTGAAATCGAGATTTAACCATGGCTCAACCTTTTCATAGAGCTAAAAACCACATACATGTTTAGACTCCAATAAGAAATTTTCTGGGTCAAACCGTGACAAGATACTAGCACTATGCAAATTTTCTTTAATCTATCAAGTTTCAACCACTCCCATACGTTCATAATTCTAGACCTAGACTTTTCTAATGACTTGACAATTGAGGGACAAAGTCAAGAAGGCCGCTAGCAAGCTCTAGGGCAGGAGACTTTATAGACTCTTTACCAGTTACCACTGTTCCTCTCACTTTTTCCACTCTTCACACTATTTTTCTCTCATTCACATTCATAACAGAATCCAGCAGTAGCAATAGTAACCAATAACTATCCATATTTTTGCCATAGGAAAGATATTACATAAACCTGTGGACACTACAAAAGAGAGACAAGCTACTTAACCTCTCACTTTCACTGATAATTCTTCCATTCTCAATTTACCTTACAAGTATAAAAAGAACAGCATCATAGATGTTTTCATTACCCTGCAGCCCTCTTTCTCTTCAGCTGTTTTCATCTGTCAACTACAAGTTCCAACCATTTTGTGAGGTTCTTAAAGCCACCTAAGAGATGTTTAATACTAAACAACAATAAGACCAGCCTTTCCATACTTGAAATAGATACTTTCTTCTATCAGCAAAAGAAGTGGGGGAAAAAGGTACTATAAGGCTGTCTCCCAAACCCACCACAGCCATGCAACTCTTTCATCGGATCATCATCCTGCTGTGGAACCCCTTTCCAATATATGCACAAGAAGGTCTCTTTTCTCTCTTTCTCTTCTGGTTTACGATTCATCCAAGTCTAACTAGAAGAGGGTGGGGAAAAAGGTTTGAGCTTTACTTCTTTCTTTTGCTCTTGACAGTAGACCCAGATGGATTGCTGTGCCAGTTCCTCTTCCTCTGGTTGATGAACCAGTTGTTTATCTGCTTCAACTGCAGCCCCGTTTCTTGGACCAGCCTCGCCTTGTCTTCCTCCTGTGAACATACAAAACTTGTGTAAGAAGCCACATCTACGATCGATAACTTGTGTAAGAAGCCACATTTTGTTCGATTCATGATTAACAAAAGGAGATTTGAATAAGAGCATAACTTGCTTAAGCAGCCACAATACGAATGTTTCGCAGTCTTAATTAGAAGGAGATTATAGGAAGAACACTTACAGTTGGATATGGCCACTTGGAATGTGATTGCCACCAAGATTTCAACACTGATGTAGTGTCTCCAGGCAGTTTCCCTGCTCTTCTTTTGCGGAGAATCTCCTCTCTTATGTCCAATAGCTTCTCCTTGTAACCCTGGGCAAAGGAAAGCACAAAGCACGACGTAAAACTTAGTGTTGGCACAAGGGGAGACTTTTGAAGAGTTGTGTGCTGCACTCCATTGACTAATTTACCTGTTTGAGCTCATGCTTCAGTTCCTGCCTCACTCGCTCCATCAACGACCTCTCGGTTTCAGTAGGGACGAGTGGACCGAATCCCATGGTGTCCATCGCGTCCATGCTTCCCTCGTACAAGTTGGCTTCACTGTCTACTTGATCATCATCGTCATCTGACATCGTTGCGCCTGTGCCTTCTCCGGGAGATACACCTGCAATTGATCAATGCTTCGGCTTAGTTTCAATGAAGACCAAGTTGTTTGGGAAGCTAACATTTGCAGATTAAGGATTTTACCTGTGAGGCTCTGCAGGGCTTGCTCCAGCTCCCAGCAGGCCATGACAGCCTCCATGGCGTGAACTCGGACATGTTGTTGGAGTTGGTCTTTGAATGAACAGAGCAACAGAACATAATGCGTCTACATCAGAAGGAAGAAGGAAGGAGAAAATGAAGAAAGAAAAATAGTTATAAAAAGGACATACAGAATTGATTACTCCATAAAGACAATGGAGGTCCTTATAAGAAAATTCATTAGTACAAAGGCATTTAAATTGGTGAAGACGCTGCTTTCAATCAATCCTTATAACAGCTGTCTCTAAGCCATGCAAAACAAACATGCAAAGGTGACTGTTCAAGAACCAGACTTGAGGGATCGTAATCTTGATTGATCATTCCATAACTGGGAATGGCTTAAATCTTCTAATTGTGATCAGTTCTATAAGTTTATCTCTAAATACATCTCGCACCCTTCACACCATTGAAGAAACAAGCAAAGTGCTGTAAAAGCTAATCAAGAACATGTTGAATCATAAGACTATGTCAATCCTATTTCAGCTAATACTGAGAAGTTAGACTGTCAAACACAATCCAAGACAAAGACTTGATCTTTTAGCAAAAGATTACAGCTTTGCCATCAGTCCTGCGAACCAAATGGTCCAAATTCTAAAGGGTATGCGCTAAGTTTTTCTTAGCACATTTTAGGGAGGAAATAGGGCTGAAAAAACTGCATCAGCAAGAAGCTTGCTGCTTAGTTAGTCCATCGGTTACTAATGACGTATGCCCTTAGGGAAAGGAGAGGGAAAAAAACTCCCACCTTAGCTTCTCCTCCAGAAAACATGGAGGAAAGGCCCAATCGATACTTTAAATTCAGTTATCAGTTATATGATTTCAGTTACTGCATAATCAACGAGATAATCACTTGATTAGTAAGCAATCCCCAGACCAAGTCTCTCAAATCTTCCCCATAAACCATAAACTAAGCAGAAATCCCATTCCCCAAAACCCTTAATCAACGATAATCGTTAATCCCTAGGACTGAGAATCTGAATGAAGGAATTGTCGACAAAGATTAGGACTTTCAAAATCAGGGGGTGAAACCCCCAATTAAGAAAACAAACTCCGGCGAAATTCAATACCATGAACTGATCGAGCTCCTTCTCGTCGACGACGGGGCCGTTTCCGACGACGGAGTACTTGGCCACCACTTCCTGCGACTGAGCCAGCTGAGCGTCGATCCTCGGCAGCTGGTCGACCGGCGTGGCAATTCTCAGGCACGCCACGTGTGCAGCCAGCAGCTGCTCGTACAGCGGGTGGGAGAGTATCTCCGCCTTGCATTTCGCCCTCTCCCAATCTGCCGCTCCGCCGCCGCCGTCCAACAGCTCCTCGTCCCCGCCACCGCCGTGGTGGTGGTGGTTGTTGTTGCTGTCGTTCTCGCTCCTGTCGCTGCAGTCGCCGCGGCGGAGGACGGCGCTGCTCAGCCAGGAAGGTCCGGCGGAGGCGGCCGAGAGCGGCGGCGGCGGCGGCTGGAACCCCATTTCTTGGGACATGTGGTCTTGGAAAGCCATTTTTACTCTCTTTTACAGGAAATTTCACAGTGGCAGTAGCAACATTAATTTGTTCAGCCAACAAGAGAGAGAGAGGGAGACAGAGAGTAAGAAAGATGGAAACTTTATCAAAGAACAGAAGAAGGAGAAGGAACTATGGCGGAAGAGGAGAATTGGGTAAGGGCGCGTTTGGCGGAATTTTCTGTGTGGAGACGGAGTTCTTAAGAACAAGCTCTCTGCTTTTGGATTGTCTTGCAGAGAAGGAGAAGAAGGAAGGGGAAGAAGGGAGTTTTCATATTTATTGTAATGAAAAATAGGGAAAATGCAGGGAAAAAAAAGGAATTTTAAATTATTTGTTTTTTCAATATTTTTGCTAGTGGTTCGCTTGGGTGGACTTTTGGTAGGAGATCGGACGGTCGGATGGAGGGACACGTGTACGTTTGGTGATGTTTTATTTGTAAAATAATAGGTGCCAAGAAAATGAGAGGGAAAAGAAAAGGAAAAAGAGATATTTTTGTCCACGTCCCCAAACAACAGTAAACTACCTCCGGTCGCGCGAGTTTGATTAAACAATTGATTAAAAAAATAATGGCATCAAACCAAACAACAGTGTTATTATGTTATCCAATGATTTGGTGACTCTTGTTTTCAAAATCCTCTTTTTAACGGGTATTCTATGCTTTCCTCCCTTTCAAATACATGACATTTCAATATAAAAAATTCCGATAAGATGTAAAAAAATAGTCAGCACTAATAATTCGCGAGTTGTTAATACAGGTTCCGTTAGTGAATCCTTACATCAATTCATTTGACATCAGTTTCTAAGGACAGGAACTCAACAACAGATAGGTAGAGACCAGAAATCCGCATACGTACATTTGAAATAATAATATATCAAATATTACAATGAAATTCGATAACTGCTCATAGAATACCGAGAGTTCGTCTCGTGATTGGACATTACCGATTGCTTCATGGAAGAGAGAAGATAATAAAAATAATTACTCCACAATTCAATTATAATATATATTGTGATTCGCATCCCCTATAGGCTATATCGATCTTTGATTATATATATTAACCCAAAATGATATCTATGGACCATGCATGATTAAGCTTTATTAATCCCATTCGAATTAATAAAGAACCAATAATTTTGATGTTAAAAATAATAATGCCGTGTACCACCACACTTTATTAGATTGAGTATGGAATATTATAGACTTCCCTGCCGGCTGCTCTCTCTGTTTCCACCTCCCTTATTAAAGCTTTTTTTAAATTTTAATTTTAATTTTTTGTCAAAAATGGAACGAGCAATGGTGGAAAAAGTCGTTGATTTGAAATTGGAAGACTGGACTTCCCTGCCTGGTATTGCTATTATTTATTTACTTGCTTAGAAACCTACTTTAATTTATTGATGAATACGTGCATCAGTTAGAATTAATAAATACGAAGAGGAAATGATCGGCAAAAAGGGAGGATTGTGTTGTAAGTGTCACGTTGGGTTAATCCTGGCCGTCGTCTCTGGTTAGCTCCCAGACAAAAAGAAACAAAAGCAAAAAAACTAAAAAGGATATCAGGATCACAAACTTTTTTTTTTTGTCTTATGTCCGATATCCCCAATTAAATAACGATAAGACATAAAGAAAAAAAGGGTTAGAAAATAGTACGTACAATATATTAATTTGAATGGAATTTCAAATGTTGGTTATAGTAGAAAAGGCGCGTAAGTATGATGTTTGTCAAGCGTAATCACAATTGAGTATGGAGAGTTTGTAAAATCAGTAGAAGGTATTACTAGGGCAGGAGTGCGAGCTGAGTGTGATTCGGAAAGTGGTGCGTTTGAGTCTTGATAATTAGTACGTCCCACGTTAGTCGTTATTATCTGTAATTCTATGTATAAATTGTTCGAACTGAATGTCTATTTCGAGCTCTGTCTTGTTTATGCCGGCTTTTAGTTGCATCAATCTTGGCTTTGTTTGGAATTGTTCTTAGAGATGCAAGGGACAACATCTTTACATACATGCATGGCAGATCGTTATGTCTTGCCGTTTGTTTACCTATCCATAATCCATTTCCTCCAATCGCATGCGAATTAATCCAATCGAATGCAAATATCACCGATGAGTGCTTCTCAACCAATTACCTCTAAAAGACCAAAAAAAAAACATTCGAAACTTTTGCTTAAGTTTGACAAGTAAAAAAATCCGCATATTTTGGATTGCCACTTTCCATGCATTAGAAGAATTAATCTCTCTTTGATCCGGTATCATCTGCGCAACTAAAACTTTAATAACGATCTGTCTTTCTTCAATCCAGCCATATTTTTAAACACAAAAAGTGGATCAACCGATGTAAAATAAACTTATTGTTCACAACAAGGTTTCAATTCCCCCCTTAATCCCATTTCTTCCAACGTTCGTACATGGTAACTTAATTAGCAACAATAAACAGTAGTCAAAACTCATTTTTGGGACAATGATCGATCGAGTGCTATATATGGTCTGAGCTAGGGTTAGATCCACTAGACCGAACCACGAAAAGAGAAAAAAGAAAGAGGCTCGGGAACCCAAACTGGGAAGAAGCTAAGCAGCAGCAGAAGGAGGAGAAAACGGGGCGCTGCCTGCCTGCCTGCCTGCCGTCTCTTCTGCCAAAGTCATAAGACTGAAGGACGGACAGAAGTCCTACACTACAGAAGAAGCAGGCTGCTGCTGCTGCTGCTGCTATGAGCTAAGCCGAAGCTACATTTCAGAATCAGAATATAGGGAGGGATTCGAACCAATGGCTAGCCAGCGAGCCAGCCAGCTGAGACAACGCAGAGGGGGACCAGTTTTATCGTACATTAAATTAGGGAGGGTTGGCTGGTGCAGTGTTGCCGACTTAATTACGTACCCAAGTCAGCATACTGTACATTTTTATGTGTATCGGATGGAGCGCTACTGCGCTAGCGAGCTAAGCTCCTTTTTTCTGCTGCTTCAGTAATAGCTTGTGGCCACAACTGCGCCGTGGCTGCGGCGCCTGTTTCTGCTGCTCTCTGCCTGCCTGCCTGGTTGGGTTATTCATCGAAAGCTACTCACTCGCCCGCCCGGCCCACTTGCGTTAGGGAACCAGTTGTAGACAACCAACAGTTCCTCACGACCACGCATCTTCAAATGGTTGTTGTTTGGACGTACTAATACAATCTTAATTAGTTAGGTTAGGTGGGGGGTGTTTGGGTTTATAGATCGAATTTCGGTGAAAAACTGAAAATGAATTGTGTGTTGAGCTGAGTACTCATCACACCTATCCTCAAATGAGAGTTTTCATTGGTTCAGTCTTAAAGGTTACAGAATTTTTTTCCCCCTCAATTAATCCAACTTTTATTCCACCTTCGAACTTCGAACAACGTATGCAAAATGCAATCTTCAAGAGGATCAGAAATTAGATCTAACAATATTAATCCAGTCATCAGGCAGATTAGATCTCGCGTTTGATTGTGCCACCCAATCCGCTCTGACATTCAATGCTCGTGGCACCTCTTTGACTTTAATGTCAGGATTTGTCCTGGGGATATTAATCATCGAACCGATCCATGCTGCACAGCGCCATGGCCATCGTGATTTCTCTTTACCCAATGCTTTCACCAGCACCTGACAGTCATATATTGGACAATGCAATGGGATCCATATTCTTGTGCTAATTTTAAACCTTCTAAGAGAGCCTTTGCTTCCGCTTCAATCGGGGTGGAACAAAGAAGAGTCTCACCTCGCCCGTCACACACTTGTCCATGGTGGTTCGAGGGCCAAGGAACTCTATTCTTGAACGTACATTCATTCCTTGCCTTCCATATATTCCAGCAAAGGGAAACGATATGGATAACAGATTCTTGTGAAATGACCTCCTTAATAGCACAAATCCAATCAAAGAACGAAGAATCCTGGGGAGGGAGAGGAAGAGAAGGGAAGACATCGTTCCAAGCTTCACTGGCATGAGGGTAGTAGAAAACGCAATGCAAAATGGACTTGTTTGAGCTATTGCAAACTTGACAATTCGGGTTTGGGGCACATTTCCGATGTAAAAGCCTCGCTTTAGTTGCCAACCCATTCCTGGAGCACCTCCAGATGAAAGAACTTAAGCTTAGGTGGAAGGTTCAAGCCCCACATCCATTTCCATTTGTCCACTTTTCCCATCGGTTGGAAGTTTGTGTTCGCTTTGTGAAAAGTGTGGTATGCCGTCTTAACCGAGAACATTCCTTCTTTAGTAAGATTCCAAGCCCAAAAATCATCAGCTCCAAAGTTACAGAATTATAGAGTGTTTTACGTAGGTTTTTTTTTTTCATAACGTCTCTGCACCTTACGTAACTCGCGGGTGGTATTAATATTTATTAATGAATAATGTTGTTACAACTCCCACATTAATTAAGATCATAATTAGAGTGTCTTTCGGCAAACGCCATGAAAAAGGTTCCGTCGGGGTTAATAATATCCACCCGTCCGACAGCAACAACCATCGCCATTTGGCCTCTACCCGTTTGTTTTCTTCCTCGTGGCCTGGCCGGCGGTCCCCTCCCTCCTCCCCCGCCGCCACGCGTCGCCTCCACGTTTCATGGACCACTCGGAAAGCGACGTGGCGAATCCGAAAATGGGCCTTCTCTGTGGGCTGAGCGGGACATAATTTTTCTTTTTTCGCAACTCGCAGATGGCCTCGATGACATACACTACACTCCGCTGCGCCACCCCGCAGGGGACCACTCCCCTCTCTCTCTCTCTCTCTCTCTTCTCGATGGTCCCCCTCCCACTCTCCCCGACTCGTCCCTCGTCTTGCGGGCTTCGGAATGTCGTGGGCCCATCCTGGAAAGTGGGCTCCATGGGGGAAAGGAAGGAAGAGGATAACTCTGAGAGGAATAGTTCGCGTACGGCCCAATTCACTGTAGCGAGAGAGGTCTGTAATGGGCTTTTTCCAAAACCTTATCCTTTTCTGTTTTGTGGGCAGTGGATGGCGTCATCGAGGAGGAAACGGCGTATTTATGGAAGGCCAGGTCCGGCGAGGTCTTTTGGTAGGTGGGTGCGTCATGTCGACTGTTCGATCGAGGCCGACTCGTTTTCCATATGTAAGGTCGGTGAGAAAAAAATAGTGGTGCCAATGAGTGAGGTTCTTTGGCATGTCGAAAGACCCCCCAAAAAAAAAAATGGTGTTGAAAAAGGAATGTGGATAGAGAGATAACGGTAGTATGAGTAAGGCAAAGTAAAGATAGAAGTATTTTTCGGATAAAATGAGTTGAGAAGGAGGAGACGTGTTGGGTAACGAGATGGTGGGGCTTGAGAAGAGGAAAGAGGACCATGCTTTTACAATACCGATAAAATATGAGATGAATAACGTATGTTTAGTCGTTAGTCGTAATGAAATGAGCTGAGTCAAGGACGAACGAGTCATCAGGTCGAATTCCTCATTCACAGTGGTGCCAGTGGCCTTGCATCTCGAGGAGTCGTCACAGCACAAGAGGTGCAAACACACATAAATATCCACTGTAGAAATTTCCAAAACTGAATGTGTTCGTCCGTGAAAGTTCGTGACTTTTATGAATAATAACGTACTTGACATTCTAAGTGATAATGTCGGCGTCGAGCTAGCTAACATCTAGATTGAATATAGGAGGTAGCTAGCAGTCTGAATTATTGAATACATATATGTATTAGCTACTCAGAAATAGATGATAACGTCCACCACAATTTACCTGGGGATCGTGTGGATGAGGATTCTAACGAATCAATGTGATACAATTGACCCGATTTGAGACAATTGGACCAAACTGACCCATTTCGCCTCATAAAATTTGGATGGTGCAATTTGTCCCGAGAAATTTTGAATTGTCTCAAGACAACTAGGATGAGACAGGTAATTCAAATTGATTAATTTTGTAAAATGACACAATTAATCAAATCGTTCAGTTTTTCAAATAATTCATCCAAACCACCCTTAATTCAGAACAATTCACTTGATTTCCAAAAGGTCACTATATTATGAGATCTAGCCTTTTTTTACTATATGGGTTTAAAAGGGAAGAAAAGGACTTGAAAAAAGTCGAAAATAAGAAGGGAACCCAATACCTTTTTTCCCACGAAAACGACATCGCTTGGAACAGGTCCCTACATTCATCGACCCATTATGGAGGCCAGGGAGCATATGCCAATCGGCCTAACTTTCACAGAATGTGCGGCCTCCCCCGAAAGTCCAAAGAAGGAACACATCAATCCCCCATAACACTGTTGCTCATCACGCCTTGGGAGAGAAACGTGAGAGCGAAGGCAACTTCAATACAGAGCCAAAATGGCAGGACCACGGACAAGATCAGACCAAAGTAATGATATGACAGTAGTGAACGAGCTAATAATATATCCAACTAAGGTAAAGATGGAGAAAGGGATGGCTTTGTGACCCGGAGCTCCCCACAGTCGCTGATGAACACGGTTTTCAGCGGCCGGTTCCAGCTCGACCGCGCGTTCTGCGCCCTCTCGTCGCCCAGGAACTCGGCGAAGTCGTTGAACTGCCGGATCCTTTCTCCCGGTTTGTAAGTTGGGAGGGAAGATATCGCCGTCACGACGTCCAGACCTGCATCATCATTGTCATTAGGAACAATATTGCAAGTGTTAAGAAGTTTGAGTTTGAAAGATCAAACTTTTCATTAAGCATGGGGGAATAACAAGTGGTAAGAATCCATCCAAGATCATCATTCATTGGTATTTGCAGCAATCACAAGCAAAAACCACAAACAAATGGCCTTTCCCAATTGTGTGATTGAATTGGTTTCCAAGTATATGGATCTAATCATCTAATACCCTTCCGTTGCACGCTCCATCAAACGAAAGTCATTTCATCCCAATACCACATGAAGAACCACTTCATTCTGATAGTTGACAAGAAGTGAAACGATTTGGAATTACAGCTGCATAGTACAAAAACTAGGTCCATTCAAGAACCTATGCCCAAACAAGACAGCACTACCTAGGGTTGAATACTTTAGCCTTGTTGTCAGGATTACTACTCACTAGCTGGTCTCACTCAAAGAGGAGATATCAGAAACTACCCTGAAAGGAGGAGTAAAGATTCCACATAGCCAAACACAGGAAGTTGACAAATTAGGCACTAGAGATTAGGATTCATATACTATTCTTAAGCAGACTCATGTAGTCATGTAAAAAAGTTGGCGAACCCACCTCTGGAGCCAATAGAGAGGTCAATCATTGAGTTCACTTGCGTAGAGCAACAAGATAAAAAGCAAAACAAAGTACCCTAGAACATATTGATCTCATTGGTGCTATGAAGGAAAGAATAGAGTTCTATTAGCTGGTCATTCTTAGACAACTAGATAATCATCAGAAGTTAAAGAGACTAGGTTAAGATAAAGCATCCACATTGTCCAAGTCCTATTCTGTCCTATATCAGGCGTGTTCAGCGAAAAAGGGAGAGGAATAGAAAGGGCGTGTATCTCAAGTTCTATCAGGATGTAAACCCATAGACAAATGAGAAAACGTGATGCAAAAGGTTGAAAGGAACATATGACTCTGCAAACGTTATTGGCATCTATTCTCAGAATTCCACCATTTACAAAAAGGAGGCATCTTTATAATGATCGGTTGACAGCTGAATTGACCCCAGAAAGAAACAGCAGCTATATCTTGATCCTAGTACACCAGAGCCAACTATCATGAACTGCAATTTAATCCATTTCACCTACTTCTGTCAGCAATTGAATGCATATTGCATATTTTCACAGGCTCCTGATTCAAACCATGGCAATTGGCATTCACTGACTGCATCAACAATTTACAGATTCTAAACCCTGGGTTATCATTCATTCACTAACCAAAATTGACTTTCCCAATCCACTAACAATATCACCACTTAAAACCTGACTCGGACAAAACGTCGAACACCTTACAGGCGAAACAAACCACACTAACCTTCAAGCACATGCCCGAAGACAATGTTCTTGCCATCCAATTCAGGGCAAGGACCGGGCCCCGTAGTGATCAAGAACTCGACATTCCTGTAATTCGGGTCCAGCTTCACATCATCCTCATCATCGTTCTCCGACAAGCACAGCGACAGAACACCGCCTTTCGAGTGTGCGAGCCGAAACGCCTTGGGATCGACAGCCTCGACGTTCCTCGGCAAGTCAGCAGGGGGTCTGACCTCGCCCAATTCCCTCCTCCCCTGCCTTCCCGCAAGAAAGAATTGCCCCGGCAGGACCTTGTGGACCAGAGTGTTCTTGTAGGCATACGAATTGACCATGGATTTGAAATTGGACACCGTGGTGGGGACCAAGTGGCCGTAGAGCCCGAGGACGAGGCGGCCGATGGGGAACGGCTCGGTGCAGAGCGTGGCGACTGTGTCGGAGACGGTGCGGTCGGGTTTGTTGTAGGCCGGGCAGATGGAGAAGTCCATGTAGATCCTGTCGGTCACCGTGGTGTCCGGGGGCGGCGGCGGCGGAGAGGTGATGGTGGAGAGGGAGGTGGAGAGGAGGAGGGAGCGGCGGGTGAAGGCGGCGGAGGATGGGAGGAGGTGCGGCGGCGGAGGGGTGAGAGGGAAAGACATCGCGGCGGTGGTGAAGTGGTGGTGGGAAAAGGCATTGTTTTGGATGTGGTGGCGGGAGATGAACCGATGGTTGGTTGGTAGTTGGAGATGGAGGGAAGGGAGAAGGCGGGGTCCACGTGTCCGGATAAAAGATGATGACGTGGACGGACTTCACCAAATCGACGTCGTTTAGAAAATTTGATTTAAGCACAAAATCTCTAATAAAATTAGTCTAATATGATATACCATAGTTCTAAATCATCAAAACAAAAATAAATTTTGATTGATTTTATGCACAAATTCATGTGTTTTCCTATCTGTCATATTACAGTTAACATTGTTATGACATTAATTTGTCGATGGAAATGAAGAATATGAGATGTATAAAAGTGAATGTATTGAAAATAAAAACGACTATTCGAATGTAAATATGCAATATAAATCAAATTACGCGATTGATAGATAATAAACTTGCATGAAAAATTACAATATATAAGCTTAATGTCCATAACAAGGATAGTGAATTGGATAAGTTACTACTGTCGAGAATTTCGATTTCGAATAGAGACAATAACGTACGTCAATGGTGAAGCTACGTGTAGTCCAGACTCGTACGACGATCACTACTCGTCGGCGGCAGGAAACACGGTGACTTCCATCACGGGTTCCGCCGGAGAAACCAGCTGAAACAGACACACATCCCCGACTCCCAAACCATTCTCATCAACGAACCGCTTCCTACTCTTCACCGCCATGGAAATCGTCTTTGATCGATCACTCCTCTTCAAGTCCACATCCCATTGCTTCTTCTTCCCCTGCACCCGAAGCTTCACACTCTGCCATTGATCGTCGATGTGCTCTGCCACAAATGCACCCGGAATCATCTGCCCGAAATTGCAACAAACCCAAAAAAAAAAAATTTACTAACAAACGAACAAGAGCAAAGGTCTAGAACTGAGTTATAGCTCCCACTTACAAGCTGGCTGTCCCATCTAATCAAAGCACAAGTCATCAGGGTCAAGAAACAGGGGCGATTCGGCGGCTTCGAGAGAATCGCTTCTTCTACTCCCTTCTTGCACTGCATCCAGTGCTTGGGAAGAATCCGATCGAACTGGGAACTTGTGACAATCCCGCTTTCTTTCACCAGATTCATCAATTTCTCCACCTCCCCTGTTTTTTAAAAAAAAAACAGAGTGTTTTCAATTTCTGCAGTTTAGTAATTAACCATGTCATACTAAAGCTGGATTGGAAACCCTTACCCTGCTCGCAGCGATCTTCTTCCTCGTCGTCGGAGCTCGCACCTAGATTTGGTGAAATGGGTTGAGCTCCGGTGGAAGCTCTGCCTCTACCAATCGGCTGCCGGCCGCCGCCGGGACGAGGGTAATTGATGGAGCAGGTAGTGAGGTTGAAGATCTTGACGTCGAACTCCGAGCTGCCGAGATACTGAAACGTGATGAAGAAGCCTACGGCGATCGAATAGTGTTCAATAAATTGATCCCAGTTCTTGGTAAACCAAGCCGTCCGACCGTCGGTTGCTTTCTTGACGCCGATCTTCCAGACGGCGCCGTTCGGTAGTTTGAGAGTGGCAGTTGAAGAGAGTTGAATCCCGTACATCACCACAAACTTCAGGGGCAGACTCTGGGAACCACCAAATCCAAATATGGGTTTCAGAGACATAAAAAAAAGATTTCTACTTTGTAAGATCTGCCAAAAAAAAGAAAATGAAGAGAATGGAGAGTTCTGTTTCGGAGAAAACTGACTCACCATTTTCTTTTGGTAGGGAATGGTTGGGAGGATGACTCGGAAGAAACCAGCAGATTGGCGGTTAACTTCGGCAGCAGCAGCCATTGTTGTGTAAAACTCTGGAAGAAGAAGGAGGGTTTTCAGTTTTCACTTACCGGAAAGCAAAGACTGATTTTTCACTCTTGCTCTGAACCAGAGTGTTGGATATAAAGACGCTCTGTTTTTTGTCTTGTTTTGCAGCTCTGTATATCAGTGCATTTCCTTCTTCAGCTTGCAGAGCTACTAATCCCAATTTGGGAAAGTCTCAGTTCTGCTTTATCAACATTTTAGAAAGGTTGAATTCGATAGTACACAAGCAAAGCAAGTCTATATCACATTTTGGCAAAGTTTTGATTATCTTTGCCAGGGAGAGGCAGAGATGGAAGACGAGAAATATGGTAATGGTACAGATATCAAGGGCTTGGCTTTCTTTTTGCACTCTGTTTTTTTTTTCTCTTCTTCCTCCAGTCTAAGATCTCGTCTCCCATCTCTTCTTTTTGGCCAATTTGATGCTTCCTTCAGTCTCTTACCCATTTTCGTAAGGAATATCCACAACTTCTCTCCAATCACCCAAATACTTTTCGGGTTTTTACAAGCATCTGATGAACAATTTTGGAACGTCGAAGACTGCTGCTACTATATTACTTTACACCTGTCCCTAACACAATATGTTCATTTGATACTAAAATACAGGTTTAGTCACTCGGTTTATCAATGTTTTTTAGGTTTGCCATTCAAACATAATTTTTGTTGTTTGTTAGTCATTCGCTTTAAAGTTTAAACCTTATTTCATCGTTGATTATCATGTACCGTCTAATCCCTTTAAGTTTGTTTTAAGTGATTGTCAATTATATCCATTGACAGTTAGATAAGGGAACATACCCAAAGAGTGTCTAAGTCTGTCCAGGACGCTCCTAAATTTGGGGGAAAATTAACGAACTTTCGGCATTAGTTTGAGTATGGACAAAAATAAAATAAAATGATAATAGCCTATGTGATTCAAACCGTGTGACACTTTAATTAGTAGTGAATATTTTTATTCTATTAGACTACAATTCATATGTTGTTATAATTTTTAACATAAACATAGTTATAAACGACTACCGCTTATTTCCAATCTTTCCTAAACCTACAAATAAACCGCATTCCACTTACGTGATACCTTTTATCCCTACCCAATTCTATCATACAACCCAACAGGAAACAGCTTTGAGCTTTTGACCACCTTTCACTGAGAATCCAGTCATCCAGTCCACCATACTCCTCCAAAAATCCGACGATGGCTGACCTTGATCGACGAGAGATGATGACTAAATCGTATAGGCGATCAATTTATGAATGATTGTTTAGTAGGATATATTGAAAGAGATTTATTAAGTATTGTACCCTATGAGTATTTTATAATTTTTTTATAATAAGAAAACATGTCGTGGACTTTATTGATAGGTCGAATTTTCATTCCTTCCTTCCCATTTATGCAATTTACAATAGCATAAATTATATAGAATTCAAAGAGAACTTAATCTGACTATAACAACCAAACATTAATCCAAAAATCTTATCCACATTCAATTTATTAGCTAAATCTTTCAAATTATTAGCTAAACCTTTCAAAATATAAATATTAGCCAAATGTGAACTTCCCCTTAGCAGTTTTGCTATTAATATTGACTTGTCAATATGATAATGACTTGAAAGAGACACGTAAATGTCAACATTCCAAAATTTTAGTATTTTAACTAAGAAAAATGTTACAAAATTATTAAGAGTAACAGATAAATGACTTATATTTTGATAAGTTACAAAAAGACTTGGCTATTTTGTATTTCAAAAGATTTGGCTAATAATTTGGACAATTTTATATATAAAAAAAAAGGTTAGTTTAAAAGATTTGGCTATATTTACCCTTAATTAATCGTTAGAACGACTTCTATCACTTGAACATTGTAAGCACAAGAACAACAAGAAATAAGTAATCGGTATTTTGGATGTGATTGAATCTAGGCCGGCGAGAAAATTGAAGAACCATGTTTTTTTTCCCCGGCGATGAAATCAATAGCCAATGCTGCTTCCTCTTTATTCCCATTTGCTCTGCCTCAAAACAGAGTTAGTAACTCGTCACAGTAAATCGATGGCCAATGGATGGGAATGATCGAACAAAGAGCCATGCTTTATCATTCCATTTTCGCCGGCGCCATCATCATAATCAGCGCGACGGCGCAAGATTATGCAAACTGCAGCCGGCAGTTCGACTGCGGCGGCTTCCGAATCGGTTACCCTTTCTCGGGGCTCTACCGCCCTGCCTACTGCGGCCTCCCGGGGTTCAATCTCGATTGCAAATTAGGCGTGATTCCGACGATCGTTATCGCCGACCGGCTTCACCAGATTCTCAGATTGAACGAACGGTTGCGGACCCTCACCGTTCTCCGGGTCGCTTACACGGAGTTCCTCTGCCCCACCGCCGATCCCCGGAACACAACCTTGGATCCGCGTTTGTTCAGTTTCGCGCCGGACACCCAATTCGTGGCGCTCTACTACGATTGCCCGCCGCCGGCGACCAGCATTCGACTCCCGATGAGCTTGGGGCGGCTCAATTGCAGCGGCGGTAAAACAGGGGATTACTTTCTGCTCAGCGAGGACCTGGTCGGGGGATTTGAGGACTCGGTCAGGAATTGGTTGGGATCCTGCGGCAATCGAATTACGGTCCCTGCGTTTCCAACGCAGGTGGGGAGCTTGTTGCCGACGGTGGAGAGGTTGACGGCGGTGATTTCCCGAGGTTTTGGGCTGCAGTGGACGGGAGAATTTGACGGCGATTGCCTAAATTGTAGGAATTCCGGTGGGGAGTGCGGTTTCAGTTTCGGGGAGATGGGGAGGCGTTCGTTGTCGTTCGCTTGCTATTGCTCTAATCAAGCTTACGGCGCCGAATGTTTGGACCTTAGTACTGCTTCGCCGCCGGCGAAACAGGTCGATGAAGTTCATGAAGGGAAGAACAGGGTCCTGCTGAAAATGTTGCTCCCAATTGCTATCTTCGTTACTCTGTTCGTTGTTGCCATCGCTCTCTTTCGCTGCATCTGGAGCAGGGCATTGCGGAATCAAGATCGGAAAAGCTTCTCTCTCCATCTGAAACCACCAGAGTTCATCATCAAACGTCAACGAGCCAAGTGTTCACCATTCGGCGGCGGCGGAAACGTCGAGTCTCCTCCGAGCCTCCAAGCATTCACCTTCTCCGAAATCAAAGCAGCAACCAACGACTTCTCCGACGATAACTTGCTCGGTTCTGGCGGGTTCGGCCCTGTCTACAAGGTCAGTAAAGCTTTCTTCAGGAATTTCCTGAAACCAGTCGTCACGTTTCAGTACGTACCTGAAGAAAGCTCGAAAGCTTTGACGCTATACACTTTTCTTTTTTTCGTTCCCAGTGCGTGTTTCCCGGAGGCGAGAAAATGGCGGTGAAGCGACTCTCGAAATCGTCGACTCAGGGGCTCCTGGAGTTCACGAACGAGGTTTCGCTCACCGCGAGGCTTCAACACGTGAACCTGGTCAGGGTTGTAGGTTTCTGCACCGAGAGTGATGAGAAGATGCTGGTCTACGAGTTCATGCCGAACAGAAGTTTGGACATCTACCTCTTTGGTAAAATCTCCTCACTTTTTTTTTTTTTTTTTGGGTACATTGTCACTGTTAGTTAAGCTAGCCGACGGATGAATGAATGGATTTCATCTCTTGTCTGGACTAGATCCGGTAAAAAGGTTGAGCTTGGACTGGAGCACTAGGGTTAGGATTATCGAAGGAGTGGCTCAAGGACTTTTGTACCTCCAGGAGTACTCCAACTTCACCATCATCCATAGAGATATAAAGGCCAACAATGTTCTTCTCGACAATGGAATGAACCCGAAAATTTCGGATTTCGGGATGGCAAAATTGTTCAGTAAAGATCTATACGAAGCTCACACCAACAAAATTGTCGGAACCTAGTAAGTCACAGCTAAAGCATAACCCTATACATAAATGTTATTGAGAATAGTTACTAATTAATGATTCCTCTCGATTGATGTCTTGTACAATCTTATACAGTGGATTTGTTCCTCCAGAATATGTGAAGAATGGGATATACTCGATAAAATATGATGTCTACAGCTTTGGAGTTTTGCTTCTACAAATTATTAGCAGTAAAAGGAACCAACATTACTATGGCCCAAATGAGGACATGCACCTTTTAGACCATGTAATGATTCCACTTTGTTTCCTCTTCCTATTCAACAAAGCTTGAGATGTTGTAATTCTCTTACTTGTGATTTCATCGTAGGCTTATGACTCATGGAGAAGAGGGGAAGGCGTGGAGTTTTGCGACTCCTCATTGGATGATTCATCTTCGCACTATAAATTGATCACATGTTTGCAAGTAGCATTGTTGTGCGTTCAGGAAGATCCAGACGACAGACCGACAATGTTGGAAGTGTCATTTATTTTGAGAAATGGTGATTTAGGTAAGACTGCCCCAAAAACACCTGCATTTTCAACGAGAAGGGAAACAATATGTACCATGAATTCAAGATCCCAACAAAAAATTTGGTCATATAATGATGCTGACATCTCTCAAGTCGAACCTCGGTGACACAACACATGCAAAGTGTATCTCGGGGCTTGAAAATAGTATTAGTTAATCGTTAGAATAACTTGTATAAACTTGACCATTATCCCATATGATGCGATATTATTTTCATCACAAGGAAGAATACCAGTGAGATGCTAATGGAATGATCGAATCGAGAGGTGAACGAATAAAATTGAAACCCTCGTAATTCCCCATTTTAAACTTCATCGATTGTCTGCGTCTGCGATGAAAACAATAATTGTATTCACTTTGCTCCAATAATTCAAAGGCAAAATCAATCGAAATTAAAATTCATCGATCAAACATGAGAAAATCACAACGACCATGGATCATCAATAAGGAATCATAACAACACCAACAAAGAGACCATTGATAGTTTGCTTCACCTCACTCATCTAGGGCATCATGCGACGAAAAAAGCTACAGTAAATAACTTCCCAATTATGAACTCACCATTCCCTACCTAAATCGATGACCCACCCAATTCTCCCACAATCACGCAACGTTGAAAATTTAGAAAGACCAATGAACAAACCTCTTTAAAAGAAGGTTTGATCTCGGATTCGGTTTCACGATCACCGGATAAATCTTGTATATCGTTTGCCATTTGCATCATCTAGAGAAAATGTACAAGAAAATCTAAGGCTCGTCAAATTTTGCTAGCCAAAAAATTCACTAGCACCTAACAATAACTCGTGCACAAATCTGAGTTCATACAACGATGAAAAAAAATTACACTTTTAATTTGACGTTATGAATGCGATGACATGGATCTCATGACATGTACAATATTCTTCTAAGAAACACATAACATATACTGAATCAATCACCTAAAATAAGATAAAAAAGAAAGAATGCCCATTTCACTCTAATCTCAATCCTCAATCAAAAAATTTGTGCCCATTTTATCGCCGCCGCCGGCCCGCTTCTTGGTTCTCTCGACCCAATGAGCCAAAGACAACCTTCCCCGGTGGTTCATCAACTTCGCCGCCGCTTTCTTGTCCCCCGGAAATGTCACCGACCTCCTCAAACAAGCGCTACCAATGTTGCCATCACCATTACCACCACCACCACCACTACTACTAGAAGAAGAAGAAGAATGTTTAAGGCTAGATGACCTCTTCAACTTGTGGAGAGCACAATCGCAGAACCGATGGTACGGCCTCCTCTCCTTCTCCATGTCGAAGATCGAGATGCAAGCGTCGAACACCAAGCCGAACGATTCAGACATGACAACAGCTAGCGCGGTCTGTATATGATTCGATATATAACTATCGCTCCTCAAAAGAAAAAAAAGCGGAGAGAGAATCGAACACTTAATTACGACAGTCAGCTACACTGCCTCGATCGATCTAGATCTCTCTCTCGTGGGTGGGTTCGAATACGATCTCGAGCTTTGATTGATGATACGAATGTGTGGAGGAAGATTAGTGATGATGAGCTGATGATTATATATGAGTGTGTGTGTGTGTGCGCGCTTTGAGGAGATTTAAGGAAGTGTGGAGTAAACACTAAACAAACGAAGCAAAACTTCTACGTACGTTGCCACAAAAAACGACGAGCACGAAAGAAGCAAACGACGAAATTTCGTTCGCCGGTTTTGGAATATGCCCCGTCGTAGTAGTGAATTTGTAGTAATTCCAGGATGAAATCTGCTTGTCTTTTACGGTTCTGGCCAACGTTTTTTTTTTTTACGCAACGTTTTTACTGTGGGGATCTTTGCCTGCCACGGTTAGATCGATGTTGACATACGACAAGGCAATTTGGTCGTTTAGTAATTTTTTTAACCTACCCAATTTCTACGTACCGTACGTAGTTGTGTAGTAATTATGGCTGTTGATACCGTACGTGATAGTTTACTCGGATAACTTTGTTTCTCTTTCACGTTTCCAATTTTTAAAAATGATATATTACAACATTGGCAATAGATAACCGACGTAATACGATTGAACTTAGAAGTACTAATTTATTGATAATACCACTACTTTTCAAATCTGAAGGTCGTAGGTTTGATTTTTTTAAAATAGTACCAAAACCATTAAAAAATATACCTATAAAAAAAATGCTGATAACCAACCTCTTCACAAAAAAAAAAATGAAGTATGTAACTCGAACTGTAATAAGAATATTAGTGTGTCCATGAATCAACCACTCTCGATTAGACGCGTTCTAATTTTTTTATTATCAATTACGTACTTGTTATATGTAATTACCCATTTTCCTCCCGAGGAGTCCTAGGTACACACTTACACTCGCATAGTTATATGTCGATTTTGAGTGAATCATATGCAAAATTGTCATTTAACTCGTTCCGAACTTTTTGAGTATGCCAACAAAAAATATATAAAATCAAACATAAAATATTTGTAAGGTCAAATAGTATCAAACTTTAACCTTTGGACCGGATAGGGATTTGGTTTGGGTCCAATTGTGAGCCCATACAAAACCAAAGGAGTAAACTCTTCTGAACTGTTATTAAGGCCCATTTTATACAATAAGCAGAACTCAACTGCTAGACTTTGCGTAATTTTGCGGCAGCTCGTAATTTTGGTTATAGACAGACAGCTAGGCCCAAAGGCCCGTAATCAGTAATCACCAAACTCTTTTAATCAAGCGCAAATCCCAACAAAGAATGAAATATATATCTCCAAAATTCATAACCAAGAAATCGGAAAGTTCTCCCCTCCCTCACTAGTTCAATTTCTATGTATATATCATCTCTGAAAAATTCGATGGTCTCTCTAATTCCACATAGTTCATGGCTCACTCACGAGAAGTACCAACGAAGATTGAACGTGAATTAACTCGGCCACTAGACGAGGCCGATATGACCAAAGATCCTCTCGCCTTCTTTGGAAACGATAGGTTCCTCTCCGAACACCATATGCCGGAACTTTTAGCATTTTTCGGCTTGTGAAGTGCACACTCGCAGTTCCGATGGTACGACACCTCTTCTCAATCACCGTATTGTGGATCGACAAGCTCCCTTGCAACGCACACTGAACCACCATGCTCACTATCGAGTCAGCCATCGATGCTATCAATCAACCAAATATTCTTACCCTGAGCAAATCAAAACAAGATCTTACCGATCACCTAATGGTTACTGTCTCTGGTTTATATAAGTACTTTTTGTATTCACTTTTGGGTTTTTTTTCTTGAGGTAATGCATTCGGCTGTGACAAGTACAAGTGGAATGTGCAATTTCATAGTCTTCACCGGCAAAAGGATTCTAGAACGAACTCCACATTTACCCACCGCTTTTAATATAAAACGAAAAGTACAACTGTACAAGGGATATGAATGGAAAGAAGGAAATTCGGATATAAAAAACAAAATTATTAAAGATATAAATGAAAAAAAGGAGACTCGAATATAAAAATGAAAACCACAACAATCTTAACTTCTAGTTGAGACGGTAAAATTCTTATTTTTTGTTGATAATTTAAGATGAGACCTATACAAAACAATATATGCATTGTTTCTCAGAGTTTGAAACTTCCTAATGCATGTATTGATATGTAAGTAGTGAATACAAACTTTTTAGAAACAGAACTTTCAAACCGATTTTGATTTCTTCTTCTCACGAACTCTTTTGAGCATGGAGACACACATCACTTATGGAGAACCAGTTGCTTTTGGGTACTTGAGTTGCAATTGCGAGAGCTTCAAGCATGAATAACAAGACTTCATACGAAATTCAATTTTTTAGGTTGAAATTTTGTATAGACCCGCCTTAAATTTGACTTAAATCAACCATTAATATAAAGATTATAGGGATTCAATCACAAAATCTTTCAGTCATAACATATTTGATATCATGTCGATATCCCCAATGAATTATGCATGATTATTTACCACAAAATTATGGTTATTTATCACAAAATTATTGACATGATCCATTCTCATCTTCTTGGGGTAATACAAAAGGTTGAAATTTTAACAGAGAAATATATGTATAGAGGTTAATAATATATGAGGATCAACCTACAACGAAACAATACATGAGAGTATTACAGTACATGTAGAGGTTAATGAAATTGATAAATATGCATTCATTAAACAAAAAAAAAATGGTAAATCTTCTCCATAAAAATTGGTAAACCTTCCGACCTTTGATCTCTCCCCCTTTGTCACTCTCTCACTACTAAATTTCTATGTATATATCATCTCTGGAAAATTCGGTTTTCTCTTTAATTTCATCTTGTTCAAGATTCACCGACGAGAAGTACCAACGAAAACCACACATGAATTAACTCGATCAGCAGACGAGGCCGACATGGCCAAAGATCCTCTCGCCTTCTTCGAGAACGATAGGTTCCTCTCCGAGCACCATACGCCGGAATATTTACCATCTTTCAGCTTATGAAGTGCACACTCGCAGTTCCGGTGATACGGCCTCCTCTCGACCACCGTGTCGTGGATCGATAAGCTCCCGTGCAATGCACACTGAACCACCATGCTCGCTATGGAGTCGGCCATCGATACTATCAACTAACCAATCTTCTCTTACCCCTAACCAAATCCAAACAAGATGAAACTCGGGGCTGACTCTGGTTTATGTTAAAGTGTGGGGGTTTGATGATATGGAAAGGGTGGTTTTGCGCCACACTTCCGAATGACTTATATACAAGTATACAGCGAAAGTAGCTATGGAAAACTATGGCAAAAGAGAGTTGTTCGGCAAATTCTAGGGTACAAGTTTGGACTGATTGTTCCCACCAAACCAATAACAGTGGAGGTGATATTTAGACCCTTTTTAAGTTTGTTGTTTTTGTTTTCACACTTGGGCTTTTCCTTGAGATGCTACATTTGGTTATGACAAGTACAAGTGGAATATGCAATTCATAGCCTTCACCGACAAAATGATTCTATAAAGAATTCTGGTTTTGCTTCATTGGAGGTGCTTTATTTCGTTGTAATGAGAGGGAACCATGTCCATAGTTCCTATCAAGGTTGTCAATCCGCGGGTTGACCTATGGGTCGACCCACTTTGACCCTGCCCCGTAAGAAAAACGGCTTGCACGCACTCGTCGGGTCGACCGTTACAAGGTACAGAGTTGTAGATCAAATTATGTCATTTTTTCCTTTGATTTGCGAAATGCGCCTATTTTTCGATTTTTCTTTTCGCCTAACTCAATCTTTGAAATTCTAAATTGAACATTTGAATATTGATGTTATATAAGTGTGTGTGAATTTGACTATATATTGGATCTAAGTACGACATAATATTTTGGTGGAATATTATATGTTATAACTCATATGTTAGTTGAGATTTGATATAATTTTTCAGGATAAGTACAATATAATGACTCTTTCCATATTTTCGAGCTAAACCGGGCTAAACCGGGTGACCCATTAACCCTTGACCCACAAGCTTGACCGGGTCTGGGTCAGCCCGTGGGTTGACAACGTTGGTTCTCATAAAAAGTGCCTAAGTAAAGCCATTTTGGACCTTTTTAATAGTTAGGATTTAGGGCGGTGGACTCTCATTCTATGGCCTCGAGATTTGAGATCAACATCTGTTTGGCGGATACAAGAGATATGTGTTTGTTGGGCGGATCAAGAGAGATTCACGCTTCTGTTTGACGGATCAAGAGTGACTTCTGTTTGACGGATCAAGAGTGATTTTCATTTGGTAAATCCTTGTGTCGAGCAAAGTGTGTGATATAAGGTGTGTGGTCGTTGAGGGAGAACACATAGTTCGAGATCCTAGTCTTGAGGAGAGAATTAGTATGGTACAATCCAAGTACCACATCGAAATACAAGGAAATGAATCATTATATCAAAATGTCTGTAGAACTCATTAGTACGAGGCCTCTTAATAAAACACCAAAAATAAATCCGTAAGGGTTTGGCCCAAAGCGGAAAATACCGTACTAATAAAGCTACCATATTTCAGTAGTAATGAATCACTATAGTGTAAATACATGTATTGTTAAATGCAACTTTCACTATTGGTTTTTTTGTTGGCTTTTAGGTGGGACCTAACATAAAATGACACATGCACAATTTTACAGTTTGACACTTCCAAATAATGTAAGAACCATTAGAAATGCAACTTCCAAACAAATTTTGATGGATCCCTCTTCCAGCCTCTCGTGACAACGGAGGCATACATCACTTGTAACGAGCCATTGTCTTTTTTTTTTTTTACTTTGAGTTGCTGAAAGAGAGGTGCAAGTAAGGATCACAAGACCTCAAGCGAAGTTCAATTAATCAATGAGGTTGAAGAAATGCGCAGATCCATTATATCTTATCATTAAATTAACCATTAATATTAGTAGTCATATAGATTCAATTACAATACCTCTCAATCATCACAATATTTGATATCATGTCGAAAACACAATCGATGCTGAAAACACAATCGAGTTATTCAAAGTAATTCAAGTATAGATTTTGTTACGTTATGTTACTACTATGAAGAAGTATTTTTCTGTCGCCATGCACATCATGAGCTCATCATCAATATTACTATCACTATGACAAATCATAAAGATATTTCAGGTTACACGTACATGGAATAAGTTGGTCGGCAAAGAATCTTTAGCTTATAACCAAAAGTTACCAATTTTGCAGTTCATTCCCTGACGATGGAAAATCTAGGAATGTTGGTTACCTAGGAACCTTTAGTTTCTCTTATAACGAACCGAAAGTAACTAAAATGAAGAACAGGAAGGAGCTAGCAAATAGTATAGAAACAAGTAGAGGTGGCAATTAGGATCCAAATCCATAAATTCAATTTAATCCATCCACCAAATTATCCACTTAATCCAATCCATTTAAATCCAATCCATTTGATCCAAATCCAATTGGATTGGTGGATTCATGGATCAATCCATGGATCCAAATGGCAAATTATGATTTGGTACCTATATTTTTTATATTTTACATTTTGGTACCTAAAATTTATATTTTTATACGAAAAAATGATTGGAAAATTACATTTTGATACCTAAACTTTTTCATAATGACATTTTAGTACCTAAACTTTTGAAAATTTACATTTTGGTCCAAGCCTTGGATGTCATTTGGATTCATGGATCAATCCACCAATCCATTTGATCCAATCCATGAATCCGCCAATCCATTTGATCCATGGGTCCACCAATCCAATCCACGAATCCATAAATCCGATCCAATTGCCACCTATAGAAACAAGTAACTCTTTGCCGGCCGCCGGCGGGGGAAAAGCTATGCTATATATGAACTGCAAAATGCCCCTTGTTTTTCTACAATCAGTCCAAATTTCCCATCTCCTTACCTTTGTCTTGGAAAGTGGTTCAAATGGTGATGTGTGAAATGCGGGTAAAATACCTACGATACTACTTAACTTTGAGAATTGGTGGAGTTATACCACTTAGCTTAAAATAGTACGTCGGGTACCACTTAACTTAGGTAATTAGTGTAGCCGTCCACAATTCCATCCATACAACTAATAGTGGAAATAAAGAATAAATTTTGAGCCACATCAGCCATACACTTTAATCCACACAAGATAAGAGCAAAAAAATCCTTTGACATCAGTACGGATCCAACTCGCATCAAAGGGAACGAGTAAAGAGTGCAAATTCGGTGGCGAAGGAAAATGTTGCGATTGGTAACCTGCCATGAATATCAATAGTGAGTGCATGCATCCAGTTTTTTTTTTTTTTTTTTAGATAAGGGTGATATAGATTACTTTTTTGTCATTAGGTACTACTGAAGGGACTCGAACCTGGGACCTCCAGTTTATAGCAGGATATTAGCAATTTCTATCTTTGGACCTTTTCTCCTTTAAATCGTGAGAGGGATAGATCACATTGAGTAGTCATTTGCAGTTTTCCTGCCATTGTTGTTGTTGAGATGGGGCATTTTACAAAGCAGAGTGAGACGGGGAGAGATTGGGTGGGGTTTTAGTTCATTGGTTAGAATTGAGTATTATGATGGGTGGATTGATTGAGCAACTTAAATCCCACGTGGTCTGGCTGATGTGGCCAAAAAAATTATTCTTTATTTCCACCGTTAGTTGTATGGATGGAATTTTGGACGGATGCACTAATTACTAAGTTAAGTGGTACCCGACGCTCTATTCTAAGTTAAGTGGTATAACTCCACAAATTCTCAAAGTTAAATGGTATTTGAAGTATTTTACCCGTGAAATGTCTGATCATATTTGTTTCAATCAACTATTAATATTAAAAATACGAATTTAAGTATGAGACCACAAGAATAAACGAGTATTGATATCATATTAAAAATCAACCAATTCTAATGATTCATGTTATTGGGAGAAGACCAATAATAGATCTTATATCGATCCTTATAGTTAGGGGACATATGCCTAGCGGAGAAAAGTTAATCTGCTAACTTGAAGATTCGTTAGCAGATACTAACTGATATCCAAAATACATGAACTAATATCAAAGTACTAAAATATCTAGAGAGCACATACTAGTATTCAAAGTTTGCTAACTGGTATCCACCATGAATAAACTATTATCCCAAATTAACAAACTAATATCTAAACAACACAGAATAGTATCCAAACAACACATAATTAGTATCCAGATAACACATAAGAATATCCGGATAACCCATAAGAGTATCCATATTGAATACTAGTTGGTTGATTGTGGATATTAGTTGGTATCTGCTATCTGGATACTAGTTTGTGATGTTTTGAATACTAATCTGTGCTATCTAAATACTTAACAGACTTGGATATTAGTTCATACATTTTGAATATTAGTTAGTATATACTAACGAATCGTCTAGTTAGCATAATGCTAATTAGGCTGTGCCTAGCGTGTCTTCATTTGATCCAATGGCTATTAATCCGTATTTTTGCTTTCAACAGGCAAACACATTTAAGCGATGCCTAGATAAACTAGACGATAGATGATATCCTCAACACCCACCTTACATTTGGTGTCTTTTTGAACCTTGCTACGCCTATTGAACAATGGGCTTAATTTGGATGGGCCGGATGAGGTAGTCTCGCGGTGAGACTCTAAATATACACCTGTGGATGATCCCATTTCGAACTTTTTGGTCACATGCCCAATCCGGACCAATTTTGACGGGCCCAACTACCCCATCCTCAGCCCTAAAGCAGGCTAGCCGTACAAACTTTTGAAACAGCTAGAGCCTAGAAGAACGGAGAACTGCTAGCTGTTTGGATTTGGGCAAGTTCATTGAGGAATGTAGCATTGAAGCAATAAACTTTTGAATTCGTATCAATTGATGGTTACAACTTACAAGAAAGCACTGGCTTCAATGGTCGACCATTGATCATCAACATTTATCAACCTACACAGACTATTTTTAGAGGAACGGAGAAAAAAATTGTGACCATTTTCCATATATATCTAGTTTACTTCCCCATGAAATGTATTCTCTCTAAGCCAAATCTCCGCCTCTTTTCATCCACTCGTCGACGAGAAGTACCGATGAAGATTTCGAATGCATTGAGTCATCGGACGTCGTTAAGGAGGTTG